CCCCCCCCCCCCCCATCCTTTTCCCTCTCCATCTGAAGAAAACACTGACTGCCCATCAATATCTAATCAGGCTGCGCACAGTCAACATGATGACGTGATGAAAATATAGAAGAAGTCTAACGTCGTGATGTACTAGCAAATTCTCGCCACAAACATTTGAAGAAATAAATGGCAATCAGTATAGAAGCTTAGTCTTTCAAGATGGCAAGGAAAGGGTTCCCCAAAATCAAACAGACCCTTGGGATCTTTCACAGTCGTTTTATAAAGTAGAAAATCTTTTTGTTGTTTGGGCTGCCATTTTGAACATCAAAGAGTACAAATTAATGAGATAGAATGAGTTGGCTACAAAGTTTAATTCTTTTATTTATTCCTTCTTGATGATTAATTAAAAGAGGCGCTGGTTTTCTAGGAACACTAATGTGACGATTAATTTGTTATTCTTAATCGCTCCATTTTCGCCTGTAGGTATATTTTGTGCAGTTCTTGTGAATGTTTGTAACAAATAATGCAAACGACCTTAACAGTTGGAATAAAACAAAAAGGTTTTCATTGGAGTGGTTTTCATCCAAACAGGAAACACGAACTCGAAACAAATGCACATAAATGACAACATAAACTTTTGATATCGGGAAAATGTTTTGAAAAACGGTAGTTTATTTGGAATTTCTGCGCGCTTAACGCAGCGTCCACGCTACGCCGGAGAAATTTAAAAACGCAGCTTTATTTCTATGGTTAGGCCCACCGTCCATACTAATTCGTCGCGAAATCGAAAACGCTCCTCAAAGTGGAGAAATTTGAAAACAATGGCTTTTCGTTTTCGTGTGGACGGAAAATATTTTAAAAACGGAACTTTTCGAAAACAATGACGTAAAGATAATCTTGCGATTTCCCTGACGAGGTTTCCCTCAAACACAAATCCAAAATGACCGGTAATTGTTGCGTTTTTAAATTCCTCCAGCGCAGTGTGGACGGAAAACATTTGATGCTCTTCTTGAGTGAGACCTCCGTTTTCAAATTCCTTCAGCGTAGTGCTCACGGGGCCTAAGTCGACTGAAGATGCTTCAAGTTTGACGATCCGCTCAGTACAAGGTTGTACGCTTGAGCAAAGCTTCTGCATTGAAGTTCATTTTTCACTGGAAAGCAACACTGACTTATTCAGCGAGAAAGAAATACGGCCCAATACGCGATACTCAACACCAAGAAAGTCAGTGGAAATGTCAAGCGGCATAACTCGTCCAGTTTTGTTGCCCAGCAAACCACAAATCGCTCTCTGAATCGGGGTTTGTGAGATCTGAAGAACGACTGCTTTTTATTTACTTCTGCTGCTGTGTTGTGCACAGTGTCAGTAGTTGGCAGGAAGTTGGTCCACTGTAGAAAGTCTTGAGAATTCCCTGTGGTTAGTACATCCATGAATCCCGCGTTAACCACACCATTTGCTACTGTTTTGGCCTTGGGACGAGAATTGGAAGGGATGGACTCCTTTACCTAAGTAGATATCGGATACAAAATATTTTAGTATAAATCTACTAGGTATTCTATCATGAATGACGCTCGCTGTTTGGCCACGCTACTTGTTAACAAACTGACGACCGTGTCTTCGCGTTTTCGAAGTGTCTGTGAAGATCATGAAGATTAATATTAAAGTTTTGAACGACTAGTAGATTTTCACTTAAACAATTAGATTATTCGTTCTCGATTTCTAAGCTTAAGTGTGATAGTTATTCGGACTGTGCCCTCTCAACTATCACGCGATGGACATCTCGAGCTCATAAACTAATTGTTAATTAGAAATCTTTAGTTAGTGTCATATAAGCATTAGCTAAAGGTAACGGAACCCACTTGGAACCTCTTTCGGTCGAAGAGAAAACGGGCGGAGCCAGAAAATGCGGTATTTAATCTTCAAAGTCTGTACAGGTTAAATCCATTCCAATCAATGATGTGAATATAAGGCGCCATGAAGTGGCTAGGAGTATTGTTAACCTCCCTCCCCCTTGCATGGGACGTTATGAGCAATCCACCCCACTAGCCCCAGAATTTTTTCAGGTTGCTAAACAGTTTACTAAAGCCATCTATCCCGTTTTCTACGGTAATGCTTAGTATATCCAGTTAGGTCACTCACTGCCTCTGTGTCGTTTTTCTTGTGGTGTTCCCTATTCTCCATCAATCTCTTTGCGTAATGGACAATAGCGTACTCAACCATGCAGCTGAAGACAAACACAAAACACGTGATCAGGTAGATATCAATTGCCCGTATGTAGGACACGCTAGGAAAGCCATCCTGTTCCCCAATTAGAAAGCTGCCTGATGCCAAGATCGTGATTGTTCCGAGCGATATTCGAGCTGGTGTCGCCTTGGTATCGATCCAAAAACCTACCCACGACAATGCTACGATCAGTGTAGCAGGCAGGTACCAACTTAGAAGGTAGAAGTTGATTCGTCGATTGAATTCGAACGTTATTGTAAGCCGTCCGTATTTACCTGAAACATAACAGAGCATAACAATGATCTTAAACAAGAAGTTACGGTAGTTATTTCACGCCCAATTGATAATTTACTATGACTTGATTCAAAACTCTACTTTTGTCTGATCGGTGTTAACTTAAACCAGGAGCTCCTGCTTAAACTCGTGGGTCTATAAGCCCCTTTGTACGACCCGGCCTCATGGTACAAAATCAACCATGCTGGGAAGCAAGCTACTCAGAAGGCAGACTTCCAAAACAAAGCAACTCGCACCAGTCCAACTTGAATTTCCTTTGTTTTGAAAGTTTAGTTTGACGTCATGGGCGATATCAACGGTCTCCCTTTCCTTTGACCGAGGAGTCAAAGATGGTCATGTGAATCAAAGGTGTTTGATTCACATTCAACCTTCCGTATACTAACAAGGAATTTCTCGATTTCTTGTTTTACTGGTGTTGAATACTTTTTTAATATCTGTGCACTCAGTGCACACCTTTGAACTGAGGTACATTGCGACCCTTACATTTAACTTAAAGCACGATGTTTTATCTAGTCTCAGTCATCTTATTTATTTGATTGATTAATCCCAATTCACCGTTTAACTAATCCTTCTCTTCTCTCAGTTAGTTACAGAAAAGAGATTCATACCTGATGTAAACTCTTGTGCTGTCACCGACTTCTCGTATGACATGAGCACAAAATGGGCGATATTTTCGTCCAATACTGTCAACTCACCCCATTCGTAATGAAGGTCCTCGTCTGTGTAGAAAACTGTTAAAAAAAATCAAGATAGTCTTACTAGTTCCTCAAGGGGCCGGGGAGAGGGGGAGGGGTCGGCAGGGGTCGGCATGGGGTGATAAACAATCCAGGTACTTACAACTAGTGATGTTCAAAAAGCAGGTCTGTTTGTCCATGGGAAAATCATGAAAGGTCATAGAGCAAGACAGTGTCATGCTGAGTCTGCAAAACAACAACAATGCGAACAAAAAATGGATGATTATTGTTTGATTAAGAAGAACCCCTCTGATCGAAAAATTTTTACTGGACAGATACCGCGAATTGAGTTTGACGAGTAAAGCATTTTCGACATTGTCGAGTGGCATAATGGATAGTAATAGTTAAACGTTTTTCTTGGTTGAGGTTGACAGTGTTTCAGCAAGAAAGAAGGGAAAGCACCAGTTCACGTGTTTGTGCTGTTTCCTTCTATCACACTGAAACACCTTGAGCTTCAATCAAGAAACCGTGAACCACATTACCCATATTACCTTTCAAAATTGTTGCTTGCGCTAATACACTTATACGCTTTTGTAGGACAACCTTTCTTAAAACAGCTGCATTATATTATGATATTTTAGTCAATGACAGTCAGAATACCTGGTGCTAAAAAGCACATCTCCGTTGGGCGATATACGTAAACCCTCACTTGCAGGGACTGCACTATCAGTCTGTACCGTCTGTATAGACTTAATGCCGTAAATATACGTGTCCGGAGTCCACAAGTCTTTCACTAAATCAACCTTGAAGACAATAAACTTCTTTCCCCCTGCTTGTTGCTCAGCATATGCCAGATTAGGGTCATGCCATCTCTGTCTGAAGAAGAACTCTATGGAAAAGTCCTACAGGGTGCACAAAATTTGTTTTCAGTTCAGCCAATAGCAAGAACAATACATGATAGTATTTTACATAACGACTCCTGGCGATAATCCTAAAAAAGCTTTCTTTCTACAAGATGGAGGAAAAACTGATGTTTGACTGTTTCGTACGCAGCGATCCTGAAGGAACACAAACCGCTGGCTACGGAACTCAAAGTACTGTAAATACTTCTTCATTATATTATTACAGAAATAAAATAGATTTTATAAGTTAGTCAGTTGGACACTAGCAAAGAAGAGAGCTGAAAAAATGTAGTAGCAACAGTTAGATTATGAGCTCGTGATAGTTGACGAGAGAGCGAACTATCTGATTTTTTTAGTATAAATCTACTATTTCAAAACGTTATCTAAACAACATAATAGATAGTGAGCAGCGTGGCCAATAAGAGAGCGGCATTTGTGATTGAACAATAGTAGATTTATACCAAATGTAAGCTACTAGGTTACGTCGAACCGCTTGGTTCGCTTTGTCAATGCTTAATAAATAGTACAAGGAATAGTGAGAAGAGTCAAACCCTCATGAAAACATAAATTTTAAATTTACCATGATTCGTTTTAAAATTATGTTTAAGTGAATGGATACCGTTAGGTTCATTACGTGCTGATAAAATCGATATATCATACCATGTCGCTAGTATCAACCTGAAGTGACGCAATTTCGATAGAGACATTAACAAACACAGGGTCATCTGAAAGAAGAAAACAGAAGAGAGATGACGTCATATGCCGGCGGCTAGAGGAAACTCTCATTTGAAAGTTAACCTCTTTTTATTTCAGAACCAAAATAAATTCTCTAGTTAGCTTATTATAATTTTAACAAATAGATTCCATGTTGCCGTGCGTCTGTTCAGTAATGGATCACAGTTGATGTCAAAATATGGTAAGAACAAAAATGCGGCACACGAGCACGAAGGGGAATGTCACTGTTTTAGATGACATTGAAACGTACAAATAAATGTTAATGACTTCATTTTTTGTCTGTCCTCCAATAGATCATAAATAAGAACCAATCAAAATGCCGAGACATATGCCACAATTTAGCGATAGACCATTCACATTTCTTTTCTTTTCTTTTTTAATTTTGTATTTTTTTCAGTCTGTTTTTTTTACATAATCTAATTTTTTAAATACTTTTTATAAGCCTTTTAGCCATTTCTGAAATTTGTACAGATTGATTTTCGATGATAGACATAACCGCGTTTTTAATTCATCTTTTATGCAATGTTCTGACAATGTAGTTGGGCTACTGATTTGTTAGTACTGACAGACTGACGGACTGACGGACTGACGGACTGACTGGACTGACTGGACTGACAGACTGACGGACTGACGGACTGACGGACTGACGGACTGACGGACTGACAGACTGACAGACTGACTGACTGACAGACTGACGGACTGACGGACTGATTGACTGACGGACTGATTGACTGACGGACTGGACTGACGGACTGACGGACTGACGGACTGACGGACTGGACTGACGGACTGACAGACTGACGGACGATAGACTGACAGACTGATTGATTGCCTTATTTATTAGAGGTATGAGGAAGTTCGCAAAAATGTAATATGGCCAAACACACACTCATCAAAGGGGCCCTTAAGTAGCCGGTGTACTTCGAGCAACAGCTGAAAGTAAATCTGGATTGACCTGCGATGGCTGAAATGGATTGCAATACATGAGCGAACGTGAACATGAGAGCTAGCCAGTGTTCAGCTGAGCCAGCTAGTAGCAAACAGCAGCGCTTCTTATGATAAAGAGTGGTAAACAAATTCTTGCTTACCTCTTGGGAAGATGGTTTTTGGGCGCCGCGTCTTGTCATAATGGATGCCATTTTTCACACAGTAAACCAGGTCTTGAGTTGTTTTGTAGACAGATACGTTGCAGCGACTATCGTCTGCTAAAATGCATCTGAAAAACAGAAATGTCCTTTATTCCTAAGAATAAGCATTTACTTGTGGGTGACAGACAGACTGATAGACATGAGTAAGTTTTTCATTACACGTTCATTGCCCTGCAAATCAAACTCATTACCAACTTTAATTTGTTTGTGATAATGCCCTTTTCATAAAGCTACTATAACACGGGTACATTTAATCGACTATTTCAAGGACGTAATCCAATGCCACATTGTCTATTCAGTCCGGTGTCCGCTTAATAGAGGTTTCTAACAATAGAAATTAGCCAATAAAATTTATTCTGGTGTCCGCGTCCGCTTAATAGAGGTGTCTGCTGAACAGGGGCTCGTTATAAAGGGAAATATAACACGTGAATTTCGGGACCAGGGTGAGTGTGACGTGTCCGCTTAATAGAGGGTGTCGGCTTAATTGGGATAACGAAGTTAAACAGTTTCATTGGCCTATCCATCATGGTATATGACCAATCATTTCATTGGATAATGCAATTCGAGAGTTTTCATTGGCTTAGCCATCATGGGTCATGAGATCTCATATCATGTTCCACAAATATAGTAAGCGTACGCGTGATATTTTGGGGCGTTGTTTCTTTACTTAAGTTAAACTTTCTATATTTTGAGAGCGTTTTTAATAAAACAATATATCAAAAAATTATTCCACTCGCGCTTGCTGGATATGAGATGATTATAGCTCTCTCCTCCGTAGAGGCTCCCCATGGGAAATTTGGCTATTTACCATCCAACGCGCCCTCGTGGAATAATTGTTCAGTAATTATAATGAGCTAAAGATAAACAGACTCCTCGCGTGTATATAGGCTGTCACCTGACTGTTGCAACTGCTCGAGACTCTTTGGGAGCTCTCAGGAACACGAATTTCGTCCGTTCTGATACATCAGTTATCAAACATTTGTGTTCCTTTGATTTAAAACGGTTCTCGACAGTGTCGACACAGCATCAACACAACTTGAGGGCGTTCGAACGTTCAGCTTGGTGTGAATAAGGAACTCCGAAATGTTTATAAGGCCTCGTTCACACTACGCCGGAGAAAGTTGAAAACGCAGCTTTTTTTTCTACGGTTAGGCCTTCCTTCCACATTATTCTGTCACGAAAACGGAGCTTTTCGAGAACGCTTTTCAAACCGGAAGAATTTGGAAATGCCAGCTTGGAGTTTTAGTGTGGGCGTAAAACATTTTGAAAAGGAGCTTTTCGAAAACGATGACATCACGATATATTATGGGATTTTTCCGTACGAGCTTTCCTCAAAGACAAATCCAAAATGACCGGTGATTGTTGCGTTTTTAGATTTCTCCGGCATAGTGTTTTCAAATTTAACTAGCGTCGTGTGGACGGGGCCTCTGTGGAAAGAGAAAACTGCGTTTGGTTCCAATCGCAATTTATAGCGTGAATTAATCTATTGCAAACAATTCAGTCACCCGCATATAAACAAAACATTGTCATTCAGCGCAACAGACTTCATGCAGACTATACGCCACAAACATCAAACAATTTTCTGGAGCAATTTTAATACATCAAAATTGTTTTGGACGACGTTCAGCTGTGTGAGTTAATTAACAGACCCAAAATCACGATTAAATATCACGAGAAGTTAACATAAGAGAGAAAATTCCTTTTTCCAAGTTACGTTTCAGCGAAAGAAAAGATACGAACAGGTACAGCTCCGGGCTGTTTGTCGAAAACTGATTAACACTAATGAGGATTTAAACTGAAGCAAGATTTTCTTGCCTTTTGAATTTGTTCAATAGCGCTTTGAACCGCTGATTTTAGTTTGCTTGACCAGAATCGAAAACTGATGGAAAAAAAGAAAATGATAATAATAATAAAAAAATAATTCTGTTGATAACTTGTGCGAAACAACATTCAACGTCATTTAAATACTGCCCGATTTCATAAAGGGATTTGTTGATAGGCTAGCTCATTACGTGGACTGCATTGTAACAGCACAGTACTAGCATAGAGGAACTTGCTGCTTAGCGAAGGCCAGCTAAGCGTAAACAACACAAGAGTAACGATTTACTGGAGTGATTTCCTATGAAAATAGTATTTCTCCGTGTGACAAAAATTGAGCTGAATCCGGCATAACTGTTATGGGATTTAGGTCTAGACGGCTATACCATCGGAAATAAAATTTTAATTAGTGCATCAAATATTGGAAAAAATAATCGTGTATTGCTCGCGCTCTGTACATTATAGGTGCGTTCCGCCGTCCGACATTCAGCACAGTATCTCGATGTACTCTGCAAAAGTAATCATCAACGTTTTATGTATTCCAGACAACTCTCTTCAAGGTTGAATTTACCTTGTGACAATTCACCTCACGTTTGGCGACGAATGTGGGATGAAGCTTGTGTTAACGTTAGATGATAGTGGTAGTAATCTGTAAGTTTTTTTTATAACAGTTTTTACCTGAGGATGAATCCACTGCACCCCATCATCAGAACTACAGCCAAGATTGACTTAGTCATGCTGCCGATCTCGAAACGCATGATACAAAACTATGACTTCTGAAACACAATTTTAGGCGACGAGCTCTTGTGATAACGCATGTAATTTACCCGCTGCGAAAAATTTAAACTGTATAAATTATGCATGCAACACTAGGCAACCCGATAGTAAAGGTGTCTAACATGAACAGGTGTTCGTGTTTCAAGGGGCACGGTGCTGATAGCCTAACGATATGCCTGGGTTGGCCGTGCCACTGATTGGCTAAGGACACAACACCTACTTTCTGATTGGTTACTGACCGTTGCTGGAGTCTTAAACAGCAATTATAGACCTCAGCCGAACGTGAATCCAAAGTAACCACAAAAAGACTTTCCAAAGTCGTTGGCAATGCGTTTAACGAAAGCATTCACATTTACTGTAACTGTCAACGCCCAAAGCTATTTTATACCACTGCACAACTGCGAACTTGCTTTCACCACTCTAAGATTGTTTGGTTGTTACCAGACGAATTCAGAGCGCAGTAAACCCCTATGCGTCAGTAGTTACCGGATGGAGGAGATCAAGAAAGCAAAATGATCACGCCTTTCCTCTTTCATTTGTTTCCCCTATGTGTGTTTTTCATTTCGCCTCTTAATTTTTGCTTGGTAGAATAAGCAGGTTTGTTTATTTTAAAGTACAACAGGGGAGTAGTCAACAATGAATTGCAAATTCATTGATTGAACTGGCTTTAGAAAGGAATTCAAAGTGTAGGCAAATTTTTCTCGTGAGGACACTTCTTCTTTAGTTAGCTTGTTTTGAAAATGTCGCGTCAAAGGAAACAGGGAAAGCAAAATGAAATGAGATATTTCCTAGTGCTTATCCAACGGGACAAAGCGTACAACTGAGCGTTGATGAGGGAGATAACTTGGTGATTATGCAAGGCAAGATGGCGGCAGCACGTGCTCTCTCCGCTCTCCTCGATTTACCGTTATTGCCTCTTTTTTTCTTCCCTCTGGGTTCCTTTTTAGTCACAGAACAACAGATTGTAACCATGCTTGATATGTACTACACCTTTGAGTCACGCGCGCTAGCGGCGAAGAGCAAAGCGATCCGGCGGGAAGGAGTCTGGTGAAGAGGTGCCAAGAAAGTTTCTCGTTTCGCGGCTTCGCAGCTCGATTTCGCTCTCGCGGCTATGCCGCGCGCTCTTGCTCCAACGTGAACCTGCTCGCAGGCTAGATATGTAGGCGTCATATGGGAAGGATACTATAACAGCGATACAAATTCCCTTCCCTCCTTCTTGTCTTTTGTATGCTTACGATTTCAGCTGCATGAGTGGGAGACGAACGTTTCTGCAAGGTCGACTGCCCAATGATGTGGATGGTGCTCGATCATTTCAACTGATCAGACTGTCTGGGGATATTCATCCAAACCCAGGTCCACCTAGGCCTGGGATTTAAGTATCCTTGTAGAGAATGTTAACGGAGTGTACGAAGCAACCAGGACACCATTTTGTGCTACAACTGTGATTGCTGGTTTCATGCGAATTGTGCTGGTATGAGCAAACAAACTTTTAAATGTTATCCACACCGGCATAACCTGGATTAAGAACATTCTTTTTGTGCACTACCCAAATTAAATGATTCGTTCTTTGATGACGATCTTCGAAGGATACAAACTCCAACTGGAATCTAAGTATAAATGTTCGTGATGCTTTCGAGGATGTTGACGACCGGATGTTGAAAACCTTCAAATCATCCGAGTATTCTTCCCATTCATGAACACAACTCACAAGGTTACTTCAAATTTCAACCCATAAACCAGGTTCTGGTAGAGAAATTGCTTCTGGATATAAATGTCCAAAAATCCTGTGGCCACGACACGATTTCTCCGAGACTACTTAAAGAGTCAGCGGCTGTGATTGCCAGGCCAATGGCTAATATAATTAACTCCTCTATCAGTCGATGTAGGTATCCAGCCTCGTGGAAAATGGGACAAGTCACTTCACTATTTAAACAAGATGACGAATTGAGTAAGGCAAACTACAAGCCGGTCACAGTTTTGCCAGGAATCAACAATATTTATGAGAGGATTTTAGTCGTACAGCTAAAAGACTTTTATAGTTTTATTTTGTCTGATTTTATAAGCTCGTATAAACAGTTCCACAGCTGTGAGACGTCGTTATTAAGAATGATAGAAGAGTGGAGGTGATGATGGGCAACTCGTGGGGATAGTGTCAATGGATTTTTCAAAGGCCGTTGATGTTATACAGCACCCACTGTTATTAGCCAAGCTCAAACCCTACGGACTAGACGAGGACAGCTGTGCCCTGTAAAGAGACAACAGAGGGTGAAGATTGGTGACACCTTCTCGTCATGGGAGACTGTTGAGCGGGGGTGCCTCAGGGTAGCGTTTTAGGCCCCATTCTTTTCAATATATTTATAAACGATCCTTTCTATCATATAAAGAGAGCTAAGCTAAACGCGTACCTGACGACCATCAAATTAATTGCTTAGACTGGGATCCGGTGGCACTAGAAGAATGCTTGTGTAAGGAAGTTGAAACAGCAAATCAATGGTACAATGACAACGGTATGATTGTCAACGAAACTAAACATCAGGCCTCGATACTTGATGTTACGTAGCATACTTTCTCTTTTCCAGTGAAAGAGTCCATCGACATATTTGGTATAAGCATTGACAACAAACTTCAGTTTGATAAACACGTTTCTTCGGTTTGCAAAAAGGTAAATAATCAGTTAAATGTCATGATAAGATTTAGAAAAGTGATCTCCAAAGCCACTTTGGTTAAACTGTATAAGGCCTTTATCCTACCGCACTTTCATTATTGTTCATCGGTGTGGCATTTCTGCGGCGCGCGAAATACTGAGAAACTAGATGCTCTCAATAAATGGAATCTTAGGTTCATTCTATGATACGTTATTGGACAAAGTCAACTGTGTTTCTCTATATAACATACGTATACACAATATGTTGATTTTACTCTCCAAAAGTTTATTTCTAACTAAGTATCCTATCTACATGAGGAATATGTTTACTCTCCCTACTACCTCCTATAATAGGGACTTTAAGATACGCTACGGCGAGGTGCTACTACGGCTACTTTTGCCGTGAGGGACTAGGCTGGCAACGGTGTTTTACCCGCCAAACTCAAATGATTAAGATTTTGCTGTACGGCAACGGTATGTGCAGTCTCTACGTGTCTTTACAAAAATGACTACTTTCAAGGAAACCAGAGATCATTCTACTTTCATACGAAATAGGCTTGATTAATGACAATGATTTCCTTCTCCTGTATCCGTCTTACATCTCCCAGAACTCAGATTTACCTTTTAGAACTTGATAGAACCGCCTGTAATATTCCAACCACAAAACAAAATATAAACTCTGATATAAAAAAGCTCGATTTCAACACGGACAGGTTTTGCGTACAACGATTACGTGATAAGCCCGAAAATGCAAACTTTCGATTATAATAAAATACATTTTGAACAGTAATAAACAATTATAGCTCAGATTAGAACATACGAAGCTTTCTTATAAACCGCGGCTGTTCGGCCCGATACTAATATGACTGAATTGATCATCTCGCGGTAGGTGCTAAAATCGTTCAAATTTTCCGTACAAATGACAAAGAAACAATGATCTTAGAACTGACTTTTACGATTGAAAACTTTGTCTTCAAACCAGGCTGTTCAAACAGTGCAAAAAGCGTTAAAATGAGAAGTAAACAACAGGCTTATAATCACGTAGTGAAGAGTACGTGAAAGCAGGCACTTTCCCGTAGTAGAAAGCAAGGCTACGGCGCGAAAGCCGTACTGGTACGCGCGTCATGACGTCACCGGAAGTGATCTTCACTATCTGCCTAGCCGTGCCATATCTTAAAGTCCCTAAATTGCGCGGTAACAACATTCTGACGCTCCCTGGCCTGTACCTAAAACTTACTACTACTTCTTTCTTAACTTGAAAAATATTTATTATTTTCCAAGTTGTAGTGGTGAAAAGATTTCACTCTATCACTCCTTCACTCAGTTCACTACATTTGGAAATCCCCTGGGAGGGGAGGGGGGGGGGACTCCCGTATGAAAAGGCAAGGGATGTTCTTCGGAAAATTTGAATTTAACTCCTAAGAGAGACTTATGCGGACGTTGCTTGAGCTTCATTAGACCCCTAAAAGATGCCACTTAAAACGGAATAGGTTCGATCACTAGCCACTGTTCAAGAAAGGATCCCGCGCGCACTCGTACACCCGACGCGTACTCGAGAGATCAGCGGAAATCAAGCCTGAAAACAGAAATCAAATGAGAACGTTTCTTTTATTATTATTTCCTCGAGTGCACCCCAAAGGATACTTTGACAGCTAAAAATGGTGACGTTTCGTCATCAACACCCTAAGTGAGACCAGAATCCTTGATTTGTACCCGAGACGACAAGCATCCGCGACCTTTTCATATAGGAGTCCCACCCCCGCCCGGGGTTCGAACCTCAGCCTTTTAAGGCCGTTTTACAGTCGCTTGCAGCGTGTAAAGTTAGTTATTTTCGAGAGGTAGAAGGTACAACTATTTTTTTCATTGTAAGGAAAATACTTCTGGTTCTTCCTTAGCGATTCGATTCAGGGAAAGTCTTCGTTGTTTTTGACTTTTTCCTTCACAAACCTACGTGATATTGTGAGCGGCAATCGATATAAACGAATGATTAAAGGGTCCAGACGATTTTTTTAACACAAGAAACGGAAAGACAGACGCTACCTTTCGGTATATGGTTTCTTTACAGAAAAAGAAAAAAAGCAATGAAGAAGAAAAGGAAAAAAATTCTCCAGCCACCAGTAGGTTTCGAACTCCCAATGTCGCGCATGGCGAGCCAGCGCTTATCACACTGCGCTACTTGTACATCAGTTACCGCGATGGGAAAGTATTAATTATTTATTTACTTACCGCAGGCTCGAGTGTTTCGTTCAGTCTATAGCTCACTTTTGACCAAAAAAAATGATCCTGCCGTTTTTGACTACAGCACAAGGAAGACATCTATAGATACACTTGATGTAAAACGTGTAGGAAGGCCTGAGTAACAAACAGCTTCTTAACGATGAACTTTTTCATTTTGCAAATATCACAACCCACCCCTGAATGGAAAAAGGCTTTATGGGCTTGTTCGAAAGCTAGACTGCCCTCACATCACAAGTAGTTTCTTAATGAGCAATGCCTCATAACACCCTTTCATGCATGATTTACTTTCCAAGTTCAGTGGCTCACAGATCTTATCATGTCGTTAAACTGTGGAACTCACTGCCGGACAATGTTCGAACTTTGAACCTTTATGACTTTAAAAAAGTATTAGCTAGCTTTAGCTTAATGTAAATTTGGAACATTTCGCAAATTAAATTTTTGCTTAATATCGCATTTTAAAATATTCAGTATACAGATTTATTTCATTTTAGCCGTTAATTGTAAATATCCCACAGAATTGTAGTTTGTATGTTACTGTGTATTATGTTGATTTCTTTTGATATTTTTCCCTCGGAAAAATTAGCTTGTATAATAGCTACTCTTAAATTCGAGAAAAAATAAAGTTTATGTATGTATGTATGTATGTATGTATCTACTGGGTTTTTTCATATCAAAACTGTAACATTCCGCTAGCAGGTTGGAAGACCGCGAAATTCCAAACTTTTAAATAAAGAAACCACTTCAAAATTCGTTATCACATTGTAGGGTTTGTTTGTCTAAAAAGAAAAAAACTTTACACCTCGAATACAACCACCATAATTAAGGCATAGCACATACCGTATAAAATGATCATGCAACATTGCACCTTCACAAAATTAGTAGCATAATTATGCAAAGTATCATTTGGTCTAAAAACAGATATAACGAAAAGTAAACAAACAACTTAAAACCATCGATAACGTTCAAATCGACAGAAATGACAGTCGTAAGGCGTTTGCCCAGAAAACTCCACCAAGTCTGAAACTTCACAACTCTGATTTGGAGGCCATTAGCTGTTTACCTAAACAACAATAAATCAAAAAGTGACGGCGATACCTGAATGATAAATCAAGTGCTTTTATGACCACGAAGAAGATAAACGAAACTAACTCATATTAATGAAACTTTTTGCAGTGTTCTGGAGCCATGTAAATCTTGCTTATCGTGATTTCCTCATCGCTTCCTTGAGTGCGTAGGGTTGCCGTCGCCTTGCAATAAGATTATTGACTGCGGAATACTCGGGAAGCTAGAAACTTCTGTTTCCCGGGGACTTTTTCTCTTATGGAAGATGTTCCGGAATCATTGAAAACCCTATTCTTTTCTACTTTAGCCAACCAGGAAAATAAATAACAGTCTCCACCGCGTATCTCTGTCTTAGGTTTGTTTTCAGCCTATTTCCCTCACTAAAAAATGCTTTTGATACTGGACCTTCCGCGAGACATCGTCAGTACACTCTGGCATGATCTGCCCAACTCTTACCAAATTCAATCGTTCTGTACATAAACATCAACCTTTACAACTCAAAACTACAACAAATCCAGGTTGCAGTAATAACTTTCAATCTTTTAGACTAAAAGAAAAAGGCTTCTCAGGGGCGGAGCAGTAGTCCAGGGGCAGCAACAGTTATCGCTAGATCAGGTAAGTTAAGACCTGTTGGAAAGGTTAAATAAGTGGATGGGTTACTAACGCTGCATATGTCATCTCCTCCCGAGTAAAGAGGAAAGAGGAAAGAGGAAAGAGGAAAGAGGAAAGAGGAAAGAGGAAAGAGGAAAGAGGAAAGAGGAAAGAGGAAAGAGGAAAGAGGAAAGAGGAAAGAGGAAAGAGTGGTATCTATAAACATGCCGATCGCGTCTTGACAAATTAGAGCTTTGAATTGCGACGACTATCCCTGTTTTCTTAAAGTTTTAAAGTTGCTTTATAGTTTTTAGAAGAAAGATAAGGTCTTTTTTGACTTTTGTGTGTGTAGATTCTTTGTTTTGAAATTTTTTGCATTATTTTAATGAGAAGTTCATAGATAGGATTACCTCTCTGCTCTCAGGATTCCTGTGACCGTCACTCAGGGATCATCCTCCGATGGCAGACTCCGAAAATTGGCTGTATGATAAGCGCTCACTTGGCTTTGAAAATTTTCTGTGTGACAGCGTTCGGTAAATCGTTTTGGTGAAGATCTTCCCGCAGGCCACACAAATGGGAAACTTGCCGCGGAAATCTTCCCGTCAAGGTCCTTAACCCAGCAATACGATTGGGTGACGAAAATCACGTAGGACATAGCACACGCCGTTCTGCAAGCACGGAAGAAAACCTTTGAGAAAGTTTGAGGGCTTCTTCGCGTGCTGCTAAAAAATCCACATCAGAAAAGAACTGAAAAATTGTTGGTTTGCCTGGTTTGTTTACTTCGAAACAATCGTTCATGTGATCGTCACTTTTAGGAATTTGACGCCCATTTCTCTGCAGTCGAATATTCTGTAACATATTTCCTTCCTTTTTTGGGCTCCACAAAGTTCCGATCAGGTTTGGAATCAAAAAACCATCACGCTTCAAAGGGACAGGACTCCATTTTGAATCTGTCCAAGTGCCTGGACATATTCTCGCCTTTCTACTACCCCCCAAATACGTACACTGAGACAATGGTGTGACTTTGAACAAACTTGTCGGGGATGGGGAGATATGGGAGAGCGTGTTTAATCCAGGTTTAATGCATAAATTAATTGTCTAACAAAGTGAGTGAGTGGTTTTCAATTGAATTCAACCCCCAAACCCTAAACCTCATAGCATGACTTAAAGCATACCATGAGGTAAAAATGGTTAAGTAAAAACTGTTGTGAGGGATAATTCTCCACGAGCAATGACAGAGGATTGTCTTAATGGGCTTGCATAATGCATATTCATAAGCATGATGTCACTTTGAATGCGGAGGATATCCTTGACGATTTCGCAACCTGTGGAAGCAGTAGGATGGAGCTCCTCTTTTAAGCTACCAAGCTGTTGTACTTTCTCAAATAACAAGAGAAAAAGTTTGCCATTTTAACCCTTCGTATTCCCGATCTCACCTTAGCAAAACGGCGACAGCCGAGCGGCAAATGCATAATTATTAGTGGCATCAGTGGTTCAATTAATATATCTAAAAACAGGCTATCCAAAAACCTCGCTACGCCCCTGTTATCTAGTAACATGCACGTAGGAATTTAATTAATGAACTTAAATGAAAAGAGCGTGTCCCTAGAATGGGAATTCAGTTTAATTCTGCTCAATTCTACCCGCCATCTTTTTGGTTTTTTTTTTTTTGCTTTTTACGTATAAATTTGGCGAAGTATCATTAAACTATAACTACTTCCTGCACCGGCCGGTCCAGTCAGGTTAACTTTTGTTCATCTTTCAAATTTAACGCCGGGTTACTTTCGCTGACCTTTAGCTCTGCATAATGGAACACTAACGTGGGTGAACTAGTTTACAGCGAAATGCATTCTGAAGTAACGTAGCGACATAAACTCCGCTACAACGATTAGATATACATACTGCATGCACCCCGCAATGCTCCGTCCACGATAAGTCGCGAAAAAGGCATACGGACAAACTTATCTTTTCCCTTAAATAACTAAATAAAAATTATCTTATGTGTCTTCTTCAGCCTTTCTACAAGCCTTATACTGGGATTATAAATCGAAAGTAAGTCAGCTGCTAATGTTGTAGACATTTCAGCAACATGCACAATACGTTAGGGAATGTCTGTACTAGGTAATCTCATCATTGTAAGTCCATACAGCGGTAATACAATTTTGCGCCTTAGCTTAGCCACAAGTACCATATCAACAACAACACACAATACGCAAACTCGACAAATAAGATTATTTCATACTTTAAAACTTCGACAAACAAAATCCCTTATATGCGGAAATTCACAATACCGTCTTGCAAACTGTCTTGCAATCCTTGTGATTACCCTACGTGAAAGCGAACAAACATTGAAAGCGGCGAAACCTCCTCTTTAATTAATGATATGATCATGCAATTTTAATATAGGACATGGCGGTGTAAACAAGCAAAACAAAGGAAGTTCGTCGGTAATTAGGTGTAGCGGTCTCGCGATTGAAAAGCCACAATGATTGGCTAATTATAGTGGTCCACAACAATCCGCAAACAAATTAACGCTCGTATAATTCTTGAGTGCTGACGTTCCTGCGACGGTGTCAGCGAAGTTGGATCGTTTGGATAAGTTCCCGTTCGTCTGACAGTTGTTGTAGGCACGGGAGAGTGTTAAACCAGGATAGGTGTGTTGCTTTGTTGCATTGTATAATCACGTTTCAGTACGGCGCTGCTAAGAGATATGGAAATCGTCCTTCACTTTTAGTCTCTTGAAGACGACTATCAAGCGTGCGACATGTCAAATGTTGAAACAGATCTAAATGAAAATTATGAGCCACGCAAATCAATCTCCACCCGCTTCCCCGAAGATTTAATTATTCGAGAAACGGTCCCGGGACAAGATACATCGAAGGAGCTTGAAATGATTGCACAGAGCGAGGAAAAGATTGACGTGAATTGCTTGAATGAGTATGGCCATACTGCCTTAAGCACGGCCGCTTTTGTGGGAAGTATGAAATGCTGCAAGATTCTTGTTGAGCTCGGCGCTGAAGTGGGAAAGAGAGACGAAGATGGCTGGACCGCCATGCATTATGCCATGGCCAAGGGATATTTGGACATCGTAAAGTACTTGATCATGTGTGGAGGAGACATTTACGTGAAGAATAATGACGGCGACTCGCCGTTAGAATTTGTCGAAGATGACGAAATAAAAGACGTCTTGTTGGCGTGTTACGAGAAACATTCAAAAAGGAAGACTGAAGTTTGATCAGAGTGAAACTTTGCGTGGCGTAAATAGAGTCTCAAGAGTTATGCTGGAGTGATATCCACAGTTGAGTAAATAACAAAACCGCTTATGAATATTGCATACTTTTGAATATAATTAAGACAGATTTCTGCTTTAAAGGCTAACGGCATAAAAACGTACAACTAATACAACGGAAACTGTGCTATTCATTTAATGACATATTTCCTGGCATTTGAATAAGAGAGTTTTCCTTTTTTGAGCTTAAAGATGAGTAAATATTTCTTTATTAACATTTCTGTGTGTATCAGAAACCCTGTTTAGGCTGCTAAACTAATTGTACATTAGTTCCATATTTATTTAGAGTTCAAAGCACATGAAGGCTAAATTGAACGTTAAAATAGAAACAGAACACGAACAATATGCCGGTCAAAACGCCTCTTCTTGGCGATAAACAAACTTGGCTAGACAAAAATCGTAATTTATTTATCACCATAAGACAGAATATAAAGGGACCCGGGGTTCTGTTAGGCGAAGTGACAAAAATCCAATCTCGTTCCCAGGGAGACCCTGAAAACGAGGTCGGACTAGCGAAGACTAGCTAGAAATACTTCTAGGCGCTTCATGTTACTGAAGCCGGGATAACATCCAAACATTTAAGAAACATGAGGACACCGCCGGCGTAGTAACGCAGTTTCTAAAAAAAGAATTATTGTCTAGTTTTAATTAAATTAACTTTACTAGTACGCTGAAACTAAAAAAGGGTCTTTATCACGTTTTTAAGTACACAATGGTAAACAATGAATGCCCATGGCAAGTTGATCCCAAATTCAATGAATTGAAAGTGGGACAGAGGTTTTAGAATAGACCATTTCCGAGTTACCTTGTGCCTTTGTTTCAAAACGAGTACTCATGCAAAACCTTCCGTGTGACAATCAGTTGATTTGCATGAAAATGAACCTCCAGGCGGAACGCATTTTCATAGCGTGGTTTCACACGAAAACCCGTTTTGAGACATCCCTTCAGCAATCCACAGATATCTTTATCTTTGTGTCTAGGTACATTTCATGTAAGAGGGAAAGTACTTGTTGGTCTATTTGTAACACAATTTTGGCTAAAAGGGAAGCTAAATTGGCAATTGCAACATAGAACTCATTTATTTAAGTCCGCCCCCCCCCCCTCGGGGGGACTCGTGGGAAATTTTGAAAAAGAACCCCTAAGAGGTACCAAGATCCTGTTTTGTAGGCGTGCCTTGGATTTTATTCACCCCTAAGATATACCGATTCTCAAACAGCACATTAACTGACAATTTCATATTTCTTAATAGCGACAAAGACGACTGCTTCGAATACCTTCTTCTCCTAAAGTTTGAAATCTCAATATAACTTTTATCGACTATGTCATCTCCTGACTACATTTACTCAATTTTTAAACGAAACGGTAACTAAATAAATTGAATTTTTTTTGGTTCGATACCTTAAAAGGTGCCGCGAAAGCCCTGCTGTGGTCGTTTTGAAGCTGAACACCCTAAGAGCTACCAAACCGAAAAGGGACAACGAGCTCCACCGTTCTTTTTATATGTGAGTCCCCCCCCCCCCCCCCCCCCCCNCCCCGGTCCTCGGCATCTTGAAAAGAGGGCGAACATGGCGCACAAGAAAGATCTTGAATGACAAACCACAATTAATGCCAAAGAACTTCCAAAAAATAGACTTCTGATTCATTTAGTCTAGATACGGTTTAAAGATACTTATAGAAGGATTCCTATGTTCGCTGGAGCCAGGGATCCATGGTATACCTATAAATTTGTCCGTAAATGTATGTGGTGTATGTGATTGAGTCCCACAAAAAAAATGAAAACAGGAGACCATGATCGTGTTCAATTGATGAAAATTACAAAGCAAAATCTGATATTACCTTATATTCACTACAGGCTTTAACGCACCTCTCCAGACAGTTTTCAGAACTGAGCCAAAGTTCTCGTAAGGTATACTTGCCTTTCGCCTAGTTCAAAGTTTTAAATCCCAAATGTCATAATACGAATTGCTTTTACTAGGATCCTTATCATTCCAGCAGCAATTGTTTTGCGAATTACATATCTTATCAAATTTTAAGATTTTACGTGTGTTAATTTATCAGTGGAAACTTTCCTTGCTAGGTAGTGAGATACCCTCTAAATAAGAAACAAATCCTTGTACCTCGGTTTCTTTAAGCTGGTAGTGTGTAATAACCTACAAGATCACATAACCCACTCGCTTCTATCCCGATAATTGTCGAGTTTAATACGTACTTCTAAAAATCATTATAAAAGAAAATATGTGTTAAGAGTCATTAAGTTAAGTGTCTAGTTTACCATATCCGTCGCCAGCTGTCTTCAACTTGGTTAGGAAGCTCGACAGCGCGCATACAGACTCGGCTTGGTTTATGAGAAGATTGTCGCTGATGAAGGCCATCATGTGACCATCGCCGTTTTTCCTAGCCACTCTGTGTAGGGCCAGCAACGAATCATCAATATTTTTGGCCAATTCTAATGCAGCTTCACAGACTTCGAGCTTAGTACCCCATGTGTCACGCTCTGGCTTCTTTATGTCACGGAGCTCAATTTGTCCTCCGCAGTCTCTCTGGTACTGCATCAACATTTGCGCGTGTGAAACACACAGATCTGACTGGATCAACAGGAAATCGTTGAAGCCCGGCTGGGTGACGTCATCGACGACGACGACGTCATGGTATTTGTAACAACTCATGGTTAGGAGAACGTAGCTTGCGTGGAGCTCTAAGTTGATTTGCTCGTTGACGGCCGCCTCGCATTCTTTGCTGTAGTTTTGACCATCTTCGCCGGGCCTAAAATTGGTTTGAAAACAAAAGAGGATTGTGCAATTATTTACCTAAGAATTTGTGTTGTATGAGATAAAGGGAATTTCTTTGGCTGTGACGCCACTTTTCTTTTCGTGAAAAGGACAAAAAATAGTCGCCGTACTGAACGAGGTGTGACCGTAAGGCGGGGTCCACTGCACCATTGGTCCTTAGACAGCATTATAACATTCTAAATTTAAAATTGAAATTGGAAAGAATGAAACATTTTTCTAGGCCGCTTATAATATTTTTATTTATTCTGGTCCATAACTAAATAAATAGCATGCTACAAGGTTATAATGTATTGGTTTCCCATCGAAGCCACGACAAGAAAGGACGAAATATGTGAAGGCTAAAATGCTACGGTCGTTATCATCAAAACTTGTTAATTTCTGTAATCGTTGGATGTTGTCCTTCAGCAGCATTTTAATGAAACTGATAAAAGTTCAATTGAAGCCTTATTAATTATTAATTTCTATTTTCATAACAGTAAATAAACGAGCAGGCCTTCTCAAAATTGCCTTGTTTTTGTTTCTTACTCGTGTCAACACTTCGTTGTACAAAATGGCTTAGTACCAAGCCTCGTTTTGAAACAGAGGCAAGAGGACTTGATAGCAACTGTGATTGGTCCTTAAACGTCTCTACAGAGAGTAGGAAGTTAAGTTTTACACACCCGGTATTGCATTATATACTGTGCTAACAACCAAAAACAAACATGCTGACGTAAATATACGCAGCTTCGTGTACATTTTCCTTACCAGTTTCTGGTAATTTTCACTTTTGCGCCAAAGGCCTTGATTTCATAGGCGTGTCCATCCAATCCAAGACTTTGCATGCTATCCTCAAATCGAATGAACCTTAATCCAGGGGGATAATTGGTAAAGGTGTGTCCCAGGTATTTCCAGCAGCCATCGTCTCGCGCAACTTTCCCGCTACGAGCTAAAAAGACATTATTTCCTGGAAGATCTTTCTTGTTGCTGTCTAGAAGGGACACTTTCATGTCAAATGTTCCCAAGCCACCTTTTTCGATCCCAAAACTTTAAAAGAAAAGGATGCAAAAATTATTATTTTGTAGGGGAGGTAGGAAGCGCAGAATGGATAACGCTGTCCACTGGATAAATCAATATCCAGTTGATAACAAAGCTTATTTTGCCAACACTTATCTACTAGATAGGTCAGATAGTGATTTATCCGCTGGATTGCTTTGTCCACCCTTTGAACGGCGATTTGCCATTGGGAAGAAACGACAAGCGCAGAGGTCATGAAGCGTATAACCCTGACATATCTTCATATATTTCAAGGAATAAAGATAAAAAATAGAACCACGAAACAAATTATAATCGAGCGCTTACACAGGCTGTAAAAGGACCTCCGACTTACCATTCGCAAACATCAATATCTGGTCTCACTTCATCTAGATCTTTAGCTGTAAAACCTTTGGCGAGGAGATCGATAATTTGAAATCTCCAACATGAGTTCTGCGCATTACCAGGTGCCGCAATACACCAGGCGTTGTTTCCATCAAGGTCTGTCCAGCTGTCACCAATTCCTGGAGTACAAAGAGAACTCAATGTTTGCAGCATTTCAAGCTATTTTCTTTTCTGTCGGTGGCATTCAATGACGTTCTTTTTTGTGTTAATCAGGGTCTGGCATCCCAGGAATGATCATTTAAGTTTTGACGGAAATGACAGCGTTTTGTTTTATTACTTAGAGTGCGCCCTAAAAGTCCTAAAAGATACCCCGACAGCTAATAATGGTCACCCTAAGTGAAACCGAAACTGGTGCAGTTTACTCCCCTAGGCGAGACGAGGAGCATCCTTGATCTTTTTACCGGAGCTTTCCCGGGTGTGCCATGTGTGCGCGAAAAAACTCTCAAAGGTTTTAATTTGAGAACCGTACGGAAAAAAAGACGCCCGATCAGCGTACAGGAAAGTATTCAAGAAGTACCCTTTCCCGGAAGGTAGTAACATTGTTTGCCGATGAAACAGTGTCAGTTTAAGGCCATAGACATGGCTAAACAACTGAATTCCTTGAAACCTCTGGATACATACATGACCCTTAGATGACACGTATGTTGATGATTGGTTTTGCGAGGGGGGAGGGGTGGGGGGTTGTTCGTTGTATTAAATATGTTGTTACTTGCTAGAACGCAGAACGTTCCTGGCTCACCTAGCACTGTAGAAGGTTCGAGTCTGTATTGTTTGTTTGTCGGCTGTATCAAATGCCAAGGTTGCGTGACGATGTTATAAGTATAGCCCTGCTCTTCCCAGCCATCCACAGGCGCAAAGTTTGGATTGTCCAACAAATTACCTGGCAATCTGGTATCTACGCAAAAAATAAAATAAAACAAAAAAATAAAAAATAAACAAACGAATAAACACGGGCCACCGTAAAGCTACAAAAGTACACCCAACAACTTGTAGTAACCTGGTAGCCATGATCAATTTCTCCGTCCATTTGGTATAAACTGATGAAAGCGCGCGGTTCTTGGAACATAATGTACCTTTAGATTCAAATTTACGGCAAACGTATGATTGCAGTTTGAGGCTGGACGTTTGCCGTTCTTCTTTCGGACGTTAGGGGATTTAGATTATAGTAAATTGGAGCGAACAAAAAACATCCTGTCAATGCATTAGACATTGTCAAATTTACATCAGGTTTGAAAAGAGAATGTTTTCGGGTATGTGGGGCTTTCTAATTAAAAAATAAAGCTTCATGAAACACTCATTATAATTACTTCGGCCGACGCCATATTGAATTTCCATTGAGGATCATTGCATTTCTATAAACAACATCAAAAGGCAGGGTAATTGCTTAGGCGCATATAAATTATAACCAATATTTGTAGAAAAAGGGTTACTTTATTCGATTTTTAGCATTTGTACGGGGCACAAAACAAAATTCAAGGCGGTAAAGCTTGAGGTAAATGACTTGCTGCTGAAAACCAATTATTTCAGCATGATCAGTCGCATATCGACTTCATATAGAGCATCGACATTGCCGGAATTGTTGCTGCGTTTGTTTTGCAGGGAAAATATCAGGGACTTTCCCACAAACGATGAACCGCTATAGGGGTCACGTGACCGGGCATGATTAGTACCAGAGGCACGTTTGAGGTTTTGAACCTCAAGAGGCTGGACGGCTTGCGCCCGTTTCCGTCGACTTTGATAGTTGACTTGAGATCACGTGGTCGGTTTTGGCCAATGATGACAAAGGAAAATTTAGTGGTGAACTATAACGTCCGACAGAAACTCTCTCGACGAGCTCTTAGTGTAATTGTTGAACAGTTGAAGGTTCTCAGCTGTTAGTTGAGCCCGTTGCAACCCTCTTTTAACACAAAGTAAGAATGATCATACCATTTTGTGATGCATAGGGGCTAAGATTATAGGCAACGTCCACAATACGTCGGAGATATTTGAAAAGGCAGCTTTATTTCTACGGCTAGGCCTACCATCCATACTAATCCGTCACGAAAACGGAGTTTTTGGAAAACGTTCTTCAAACCAGAGGAATTTTAAAACGCCGGCTTCGCGTGTTGTGGACTGAAACATTTTGAAAACGGAGAGGTTCGACAACGATAGCGTCAAGATAATCATACGATTTCCCTGCTCGAGTTTTCTTCAAATACAAATCTAAAATCACCGGTGATTGTTGCGTTTTCAAATTTATCCGGCGTAGTGTGGACGGAAAACACTTCATTAGCTTTCAGAGTAAAAACGCCGTTTTTAAATTTCTCCGGCGTAGTGTGGACGGGATCATAGTTTTCACTTCTTCACACAACAGCATATAAAATGACAACAGCGGAAAACCTGTTATTTGTCGCAAGCTAATGACTGCCGGCTTAATGATTTATTTGGCAGCACAGTTTTAAAATTCATTAGATAGTACAGTTGGATATAATTAAATTAGATAGACATTTTCGTTTTCGAAATGGCCGACTGAAACTGTCATTATGGTCCTTAACAATTCTTACTCCAGTTCCCTCTCTTTAAACAAAACCCAAGTATTTGAGCCCTCGAACTGCGACTTTCCTTTAACAAAGTGACACAATTTCTTCAGGTTATAGCCGCTTTATGGCAGAAATTTCGTCGTTATTTGTTTTCCAAGCACATTTGGAGCATTTCACAACCATAAATATTTTCAGCTTCAGTCTTTGGAGGGCTCAAATGGTGATTTGATAAAAGGTTCTGTGAAAGCAGCTTGATCAAACAAAACCCCTCCGGTGATACGCTCTTTCAAAAATAAAGTGAAACCCGTTCTGGAAAAAGGCATCGAGCTACTGAAATAACCTCTGCATGCAATTGTGGGCTCAGTGTTACTCTTCGGAAGCTTCAACCAGAGTATGTGTTTTATGTTTTTATTCCTCCTTACAAGAGCAATAAGAATCTGCCTGTCGACTTATTAAGTGACTTTTAGTAGAGGACCTAACTTTGAGTAAAACGCCCAAATTTGAAAGTTATAACATGCATAGAGTCTCAGGAAACAGCGAGAAACTGTTCAGTTAAGATAAGTGTTCGTGGACCATCAGTGAGATAATTCCATGCACAAGATCTGTTCACCTACTGCCAATAATATACTGTTGGCAAAATTGCAAAGTTTACTGCGATATATATTCCCAATTCCCAATGCTCTCAGGTGCGCCAGTTTTGATCAGTAGTTTTCTACAAGGCATCAAGATTGGTAAATAGTCGCGACAGGTTTATGTGCCTCGATCCGCCATATCATTTGCCCGTCTTTCGCCTATATCTAAACTTGATTTACTTATAGCTACATGAATCTTAGTGAGTGTATGGTACAGGAATATCCTTTTCGCGCTACCGTGGCACGCAGGCGGACACAAAAGTTTTCCCTTGCAATTCTCTCCAGCTCGTCGCTCCTAAGGTTTTCACCGAACGAGTGTATGGCCGTTGTCAGTAAACGCTTTCTTTAAAATTTCAATTGATTACTCTTTTTCAAGTTTTTTTTTGCTTAATATTTTGAGGAAGCCAGCATAAATATGAGTTTTGGCATAATTTACCATTCAAATTTGCGCTCCAAAAAAAATTACACCTTACCTTCATTGGATTTCTTGCTTGTATCGAAGAGTGCCATCTTTAATATATACCTGCATGCTCTGTATTTTGTTACAATTCAGAAAGCTTTGACAAAATATCAATATACGTATCTCATTTTAGCTGGGAAGATATGATTACACGCTTTCGTTGGTAATTAAGTCACTTCAAGTTTCCACAATCGTCGAATAAATTTTAACAGTATGTGTCGAGTTGCACGGTTTGCTGTACTGAATCAATTTGCAAGACAGCTTACGCATGTGCTTACCATAATTATCTACTATTTGTCAGCAAAATCAATATTGATTTACGTGTAAGTCTGGATTATTTATCCGAGTAATTGAAATCACAACCGAGGTAATGTCTTTTAGAATTACGGATATTACGTCTCCGAGCGCGGTTACACCATGATTACGTCATGGTTTTGAAATACCGCTGAACAAGCTTTTCTAAGGGTTGTTCGTACCTCTCGATTTGTTCAGAGTATAGAAAATGAACATTTCGTGGAATCTAAATTGAATTTTGCGACGTAAGTGTTCGTTAGTTCTGTTTGCAGGCTTGGACAGTGCGACCGATATGTTACCCCTCTAATGGTATAAAGAGCAGGCGACCAACATCTCGACAGTGAACGGCCAATTTGGTTAAAACTCTTGTTGGAGAGTCCAGGGCAAACCAAATTGTAGTCTGGGACCTTAATTGAACCTATGTTATCCCTTCGTGAAAACCTCTAGGTAGCAGTAGACCTTTTTAGCTTGGGAGGTTTATTGCTAATTTCAGGACATGTGATGCTTTCAAATTTTCAAATAGTCGAGTGTATAGATGGATAAAAGAACAATTGCTATAGAATATCAAGTGAACTGTAATGGAAAAACAAACCACCCAAGCTTAAAAGGTCTGTTGTCCTGTAACTGAATTATTAACAAAGTGAAACAAAGTGTCCTTGCAGCCAGCTCCCTGGTCACTGAGAAAAAGTCCCTGAAACAAGCCTTAAGTCTGAAAGCGTATTCCTTTCTCGGAAACGATAAGGGTCTGTAAGTTAAATCTAAACTCACCACAGTGTGTAAAAATTTCATCCCTGGGATCGTAATGAACACTTTAAAGTACGCTGAGTTGCGAAAAAAAGTTTAAATTACCAAACTCTGTGTGGACAACTGTGGCTGGACTTCTAATGCCATTCCGTCGCTTGGAACTAGCAACGGAGATACAAAAGAGATATTCGCTGCCGGGTTCCAAATCTACGATGGTTTTCTCTGTCGCCGTTATTTCAGCTTGAACTTGAGTCCATTGTGGTCCTGCACCGCGCTGAAGAAACGAGATCACATAGTTGGTAAAATCCTGAGTTGGATTGTTGTCAGCAGGAGTCCACATCACCTGAGAAAACGCAAAGGCAACAATGTTTATCCCTCAGTTGATTTTACTTAAGTTTTTTTTACGTCCGTTGCAAAAAGACACCTTTATCAGTTACTTAGTTTGTTACTTTCAAAAATAGTTTATAAAACTGACTGGATGTATGAAGAACGGGTTTATACAATGGCTGGAGATAACGTTTGAGGGGTTAACCAAAACTGCGAGTTGATTAAGATCTCTCTTTGAAAGTCAAAAGAGTCGTTTCCCTCCCTCCCTCCCCGTCCCCACTTACACTTTAATTTTACGTCCGATTTCTCGAACCACCCGATTTTCGTTTCCTTTATACCAGCTTGGAGGTTCAAAAAATCAGGACTGCAATGTACCGTGACTTGACCTTATTATCGATCTCTCAAAACTGAGAAATGTCCACCATTCTTTACCGGGAAAGTGTCAGAATGCATTACTCACAAAGGGCATCCAGTATAGATCTCGCCCCACTACTAATTTTTTTTGTAGAAATTACGGTTTCTTGGTACGAGAAAGCTGGTTAGCCCGGTCATCGAGATCGCGGATTAAGCAACATGGAATTTCAGGCGGCGGGCTGGAAAAATTTCCTTTAAGAACACTCCACCCTGGTGGTAGGAAAGACACACATGGTTTTGCTTCCGCAAAAAGGCGGCCTGGATGGCCTCATTTTGCCTCGTTACTGAGTGGAGTCTTCTTCATAACAAGCACTTGTCATTAACTGCTGCTGTAAAGCTTCAAGTGTTGACAAGGTTAAGATATGTATTAACGAAGAGATCGTTACATTGTACGTGGCGCCTTTTTTTTTTTTCTTGAATTGGTGCCAGAACACATCTAGCGCAAATCTCATTCCATTAACCGGGCTGATATTTCCTGTGTAAACCGTAAAAAGTTGTCCCGCTATTCGGGCCTGTCCAGTCATCGGCTAATGTCAAGAGGCCATTACACACTTACCCTAACTGCAGGGCGTTGCCGCAAGGAAATAACAACGGGAGCGTTGAGAATGATGGCCAGGAAATCAGCGTCTTTGTAAACACTGTGTAACTTGTTGATAGACCCCTGAGCTCGAACACCAACTTTGTACCGTCCTGGTGAAACCATGCGTAAAGCTTGTGATGTGGATATCAACTGGAGCTTATCTGTTTGCTGAAGTAAATACGAAACGTTTGCTAAGAGAACTGTTTTAGAAAAACGTCTCTTTGAGGGACGTAACCAGTTAAGTAAACAGGAAAATGCTCTAACTAAAACGTTTGCTTAAAGGCCTTTTTTAGCTGGAAGTTCCGGGCCGATGTGAAGCGGTTTGCAGCACATCACTTTGACTACAGAAACCCCCAGGACACTGAGTGCGACCTGAAACCTGAGTTCAGCAAAATGATGCTCGGTCTAGGCTGAAGGCAGCTTGAAATTATGCTTAAAACGGTGTATTGTTTTGCTTTCGAAAAATGTGCTAGTAAATGTATCGATAGAGGAGGAGGACTATTTTCAGACTACAAAAGTTATTTTTGAGGCCAGAAGTTGAAACAAAGTTCCATAACATGAAAACGATGACTTGGTCCATATTGCCCCAATTTGAACTCTGAGCCCGACTCAGATGTTATGAGAAGCGTACATAGTTTTCAGTTCTGGACTAGTCTATTGTTTGTTCGCTACCCTTAAATAAGCCGTACTTCTCGACCTGTAAGCAAAAGGTGATATACCGACAGAAATACAAAATAAATCCGGTTACCTTGCTAATGACGTGTTCTTGATCCCCAGACTCCAAAATTTTCCAAACGCTCAACTGGAACAAGGGAACAGCTTGTCCTTTCCAAGTAACTTTCACCGTTTCGTCTTCTACTTGTGAAACTTCAACGTCGGTAGGAGAGTCCTCGCAAATGAGTGTCTCTGTAGAATGTCCAATGGCTTGAAGTGTTATCACAGTCCCTGGACTTCCCAACGGCTGTACCTTTGCGATAAACGTATCACTTTTTTGAATGTTTACGTTCTCCATGTTGAAGTTGGAAGAAAGAACATCACCAGGCAACACGTCAGAAAATGGAATCAAAGTAATTGTTCCACCCTTACTCTCTCTCTCCTGAAGGATTTCTACCGAATACTGAAGTGCTAGGCTTACTTGAGTCCAGATAATCTTCAATGTTGTGTTGACAGGATCGAAAGACAGGTGAATCGGTAGAGCTGGTCTTAACCAAGCCAAAACTCCTTCAGAAATGGAATATCCACTTGGAAGAGAAATCTCCCTCTGCCTTTCCTTTACTTGTGCCACACCTCTGTGTAAACCATCCAAGGACGTAATCAGCACACTATTGTCAAATTCTGCTTCTTCGGGTCTACCGCCATCACTCGAACTATCAAATGGCACCAATTGATTGGCCACTGCCAGATCTTTAACTCTCAAAATGGCTCCTTGCATATTGGCTTCTTGGTTTTCCAGTTTATCGGCATCGACCACTCCAAGTCTGAGGACAAGAGCATCTTCTATAGAGGAGCAGCGTACAACCACATGGAACGTTTCTTTGTTAAAGGTTATTTGGACGTCTTTTGGGGAAGGACAAGACGGAATTGTCGCGATCGATTTTGTGCTGGCTCCTCCAATACTTAATTCACCTCCCAAGACCATCACGAGTGTCTCGTAAATCCCACTAGATTCCAATTGCAGTGTATCTACCTCGAACTCTTTCTTCATCTGTTCCCCAGTGGAGCCTAAGTCAGGAATAACGTTCACCGTTGAGGCTGTGCTTCCAGTCTTAGTGTTGTAAACCTTGATGTGGTAACCGGCTGCCAAGTGAACAGGTTTCCAGGCTACGGTGAAGATATTATTTTTGTATTCTTGTGTCACAGAGTCTGGTGGATTGAGCAAAGGTACCTGATTGGACAATTTAACCTCACTTGGCAAGTGCTGTTGATCACCAGTGTTCTGAACGAAAGCTTGGTATATTGCTCCCCGAGGTTCTTCATCTGAGACGAGAGGAATCTTCAACACAGTCTGGTGAACAGACTCTCTTCCCGTGGATTGTTGAACAACAAATTGTTGTGTGTTGATTGTTCTGCCTTTGTGGAAAGTGTCCTCTACTTTAGCAGCAAAGTGCCCCGGTCTTGAGGAGAGGATGATCAACAGATTGTTGGTTTCGGTGCTGTACTTTAGGGTAACGCTGATCGGTCCTTCGCTACATTTCAACGCAGTAGCGCACACACAAGAGGGACTGTTTATCCAGTTTGCGTTGCCCAGGGCAGTAAGGCGCGACTTGAACCAATCACCACCAGCAAGTCTCATGTTTTCAACGTCAAACGAGTGTATGACCGTTGAGGGCCAATCGTCACTGCCGGTTGGCTTTGAAACAACATATCTGCTTGCTATATTGGTAGGGGTACTCTCGTCGAAGAATTCTATCATGTGGGCAGATGCAAGGAAAACGGGTTGGAAATTCACTTTCACCTTTTTCTCCTCAAAGGAGTATTCTTGACTAACAGAGGCTGGCTTTTGCAATTGGGTGAACTTGGTGTCCGCTGCAGATGGCAAACCTGGAAGATGGAGCGTATCTGATCCTTCAGCGATCACTGTGACTGCATACTCTACTCCAGTCTTTAGACGTACTTTCCCCATATCAAACACCACTTTGCTTGTGTCGCCTTCCGAGCTTAGATTTCCTACCACGCTTGATATGCTCGAATCCCATCTCTAATGGCAACTCTGTACGTTGGTGGCTCCAGTAACAGTCACCCAAGAGACAGTTAGTTGATTGCCCTGAGGGTCGTACAAAGGTGTAATGCCATCAACTTGAGGCAGAAAGGACAGGAAGCCGTTGCTATTGACGAAGGGACTTGCCAACGTTGTCGATACTCCAAGAGAACAAACACGAATGCTATAGCGAGATTTGGATTTGTCAGATACGTCTTTGAGGGGAATTTTAAGATTAGCCTCCAGGCGGTCGTCTTTTGACTTCAGAACCTCCTTTGTAAACACGACTGCATGGCCCTCAACTGAATATATCTCACAGACATAGCTTGAGATATTGTGGGTGCCATTCACTTTCCATTTCACGGCCAATTCTTGTGACAGTTCCTCGTAAGAGTGACGGAGGTCAGATGGGGCCGCTACAAGATAAAGACCAGAGGAATACTTGAACTCATTTACTTTTTTGTCGTGCCCTCGAGCGCAAACTCGAACTTTAGTCTCCCCGGGAATTCCATAATTCAGTTCTTCAGCGTGAAACACATGAATTCCATCTTTGTGTCTAGGAGGTCGCTTAATGATGGCACCACCGATGACGCTACCATCACGAGTGATAACTTCAGCTTTGTAATCCACTGCATATTCAACTTGAGAGAATATGACATTTACCTCCCGTCCCTCCTGTTTGGATTCGAGTTCAACTTTGGACGGCGCTCGGAGAAGAGGGGTTACACTTTTTGATAATAGTTGCTCTCTCCCCTGGAACGATTCTCCACTGCAGAGGAAGCTTGCCTGGACAGTTGCCATGAATTGTTTGTTGTTGTACTTTATTGCATCACTCTTGACATTGACGTTGTTGTTCTCGGTTGTTGCCTCTAAAAGCGCTGTCTCCACTCCACCAAGGTCAATTCGTTTAAGTGTAACACTGTACTTGACGTTTTTTTCTAGTGGTTTCCAGCTAACCTCCACTTCATTTTCCTTTGTTAAGGCGATTGATAGGTCTACAATCACTAGGCGATCTTCCACAAGTTTTCTCGCTTTCTCTTCTTTCTTTTTGGCTTCTTTCATCCGTTCCTCAGCTTCCTCTTGCTGTTTGGACTTTCCAGTGAAGAAACTGATGATGCCTGCTATGAAAGATATGATAGCCGCCAGAGCACCAACCACGACGCCAACTTGAGTTATAATGGAAACGGCGCTAGCAGCAAGTTCTGCTATGCTTACTGCCGACTCTCCGGCCGTCCTGTGTGAAAAATAGCAGCTTTCACTCAAGCGGCTTTGCAATATATTTTACCAACAGATAACATTAAAAGTTGCAGATGTGGTTTTATTAACGTTATTAATTAAGGTTGACGTTAATCCAAAAGGGCAGCCAAACATGTAGTATGTCTCTCTATTAACTGCTTAGAACAAACATATGCATAATAAAAGCACTGAATGTATTTTTATGACTTCATTTCTTTAGGTTCAAACTGTTGCACGTACTTAACTGTGTGAAGTAGAAGTATTCAAGGAGGAGATTGCTATGACAAAAATATAATTTACATAATTATGACAAAAGAAAAATAAACAAGCCAAAAAAATTAATGGAGAACAGCACCAAGAAGCTGGTAGTAAATCAGGTCAGAAAGTATTACAGTAAACTAGCTGCGCAATACCAACTACAAAAAAAAAAAAAAAATACAAAAGGAAAAAAACTCACTCAATTAATTCTTTAAAGGCCGTTTCCAAAGCTCCCTCGGAACTACTGGCTTCTCCTTCCATGCTTTGCAGCTCAGTTTCAGCCTGGTTGGTAAGATCTGGATTGTGTGCACCTCGACAAATAAGGCCTGAGAGGACTTTCCTTGAGAGTTTAATACTGCCAAGTGCTGCCATGAACTTCGTCAGTTGTTTTGGCTGCGTGAAGACCTGCTTTGCCAGTACTAGTGAATTCTTTGCAATCTCGCTGATTAAAAACCCGGGTAAATCAGAAAGTCTGAATTGTTTTGATGGCTTCGTTATGGCCACCACCATCTCAGGGAAATCGACTGTTACTGAAGGCTTCTCTGTCACAATCATTATGTCAACCTTTCCCTCCAGCCTTAATGCAAACCATGCATCTGGGTTGCCGGAATCCTTAACCGAAACTTGTTTTACATCGAGCCTGCACTTGGTCTTTATGACTTTGTCGAACACAAGACCTACAAGTTTCTCGCACGGGCTATCAATCATTTGGCTCAGCTCATCAAATGCCTTGGCGAAGTCGATAAGCGCCTGTAGATCAAGAATTACTGGCCATTTTCGAATCTTGAATCCATTTTTCTGACTCCATTCAAAGTCGACAGAAGGGTGACTGACGCCAAGGAGCTCACCATGGTAGGTTACTCCTCCTAGGAAACATTTCTGTTGAACGTCATAGCCCAATGAACAGGTGCCTATTTGCTCTTGAAGGAGTGTAACGCCAGTGGACAATTCAAACTTTGTTTTACCATCGTAGCGTGCGATTTCGATTTCTGGGCCCTTGCTGTCTTCAAAGGTTTTGCAAGTGAGGGTAGCAATGACCAGATCAATTTCAAACTTGGTGTATCCTTTGACGGTAATACCTTTTCGATCAACGGATACTTCAACACCAAACGCGTTGGCAAAGATCTGTATTTCAGTTTGACCGTGAAAGCCTTCTTTGTACGTCTTCTTGTCTACTTCAACTTGAGCTTTCGCGTAATAGATTTCGCCTTCTTTGAAACTGATGTCCAGATATCCTGAAGGCCACTGTTCTTTGAACAATGTGGCAAACATGTCATCGATACTCAGGGGGTGGTTCAAATCAAAGAAGACCAATGCCACCACTGGTTTGCCCTCCTGAAACAGGATCGATCCCTTCAGCGTTATCACAGGTTGCCTCTCACTGCTTGATGAGGATTTGGAGAAGTTGACTTTGCCACTTACAGCACAAAATGGAACAATGGAAGAATGTTCATCCTGATCAAATATCCAACTCAACTGAAGTTGTGGGTCGTCAGATGTAATTCCAAACATTCCAAATGGCTCGTGTATGTTCCTTGGATTACCTCCCACTGTCATGGAAAATTCCGCCTCGGATTCTGAGATCTTTAAGCTTCCATTGAAGACAATTAGGTTTGAATCGTCTGTTAAAGCCAAGGACATCTGTCCACTCAAAGTTAAAGTGTTACCTTCAGAGGGCTGGTAAGTCAGAGAAATTTCTTGAAACCTCAGGCTTCCTCCAAAGAGCTTCATCTCTTTCATTTGAGCTTTGAATATTGTGTCCATACCTTTTACAGCAATATGGGCAAAAAGCACGATATCTGCAAGTCCTTCTCCCCTTTGAATCTGAGTTACGTTTGATAAAAGTTTTGATTCCCCTCCAGAAAAGGTCACCTTCGCAAAGGCTGTCACCCCAGGTTTCACTTGTAGTCTTTAAATGGCTTGGATGTCTAGGTCGCTGAACGGCACATCGACTTCTTGCTGTTTGAGTCCTATTCCTTGAAGTTTGGAGAAGTCCTTACACATTTCTTCGACTGTCACGTGATCCATCGAAATTACGGACAAATTGGCCTGCTGTACCGAGAGAATCTCATCAACAACACCGAGACTTCCGTTGAGTGAGGCAAATTTGAAATCTCTTCCGAGGCTAAGGCCGAAGAGAAAGCCATATTCAGGGGAATTCTCACTGTCATTTGTCTTCTTGACAATCAACAATCCTGAGCCAAATCCCGCTACATCTCCATAGAACAACAGTGATTTTCTAGAAAAATTTATAAACAAAGATGCACTGTTGAACTTTGGTGAGCGTACCGAAGACTCCGTCTCGTGAGGAACAAGTCTATTCCAAGATTTCGAAGAATCTGAACTAGCTCCAAATTTCTGAGTCATGACTTGAAGATCGATTTTCTCTGGCTGACGCACAGTTCCCCTTACAAGGGTTTCCCCTTTGCTGTCGTGGTAGACATCTACAGCCGCAGCAACAGACTCAAGTAAAAGTACCTCGCCAGTCAGGCATACGAAACCAGTCCACTCATCGGACGTTCGGTGTTTTTCAAACTTCAGCTTGCCACCAAGGTTTTCAACTGTGATGGTACTGAAACCTGCATCAATCGACCAGTTCATGGGCGAATCACCCTCCAATTCAAGAGAAACTGTGTCTTCATTTCTGTCGAGCCTCAAAAGAAACCAGCTTAATGCCACATTCTTAGGCAGGCTGAAAGGTACGTTTGGAGAAAGTTGTTTGGCCGCTTGTTCAAAATCGAGGTTGTCTGTGTTCTTTGTACCCTGCAAACGACCTTCCAGTGTCAATCCTCGATTTCCAACGTTCGTCTTGAGTGTGATATCCAACCGAAGTGTTACAAGGGTGAAACCTCCCGCGATGAAAATTTGAGTTTCCGCAGAGTCGTTTGTGTCGTCTAAATGGTATTCTAGTCTTACTTCGTGAAGTTGAATAAGGGGTTTCTCAAGGATTGTCAACGTTTCTGTCGTCTGGATGACTACATCTACCTTCCGAATCCGAAATGGTGAGACCTCAAATCGAAGAAACGCCTCCTGAAAGGAAAGTAGGTCAGACATTGTCTCATAGTGAATAAAAACAGGGATTCTGAAAATAATGTACACACCAACTGAATATACTATTACGCGAAAGAAAACAAATACATAGCTTATACACCCTAGTCTCTCTTTTTCATTGCTATGTTTACAGTTGACAAACGGAAGATTTTGCCTGCGAAAGCAACTGGTTAAATTGATGATCAAATAAGTTATTTCAGTGTAGATATCTTCATACTGTTACCTTCAATTCAATGTCAAGGAAGTCGGGAGATCCATCAACTTGAGGAACTTCAGGATTCTTCAATCCAATCAGCTCTAGCAGGGATGAAAGCGTCACTCCTCCGGGAGAATCTGGCCTGACGGCTGCTTCAAACGCAATACTCTTTGACTGCTGGCCTGTACAAGAAAGTTCCATGGTGAAACTCAGCAGTTGATCATCACTTTTGAAATGACCGACAACTGAAATACGTTGTTTAGCTTCATCAGCTTGGTCTTTGATGTAATGGAGACGAAGTTGCTTGAGGTTAAACGGTCCTAAGGAGAGGGTACCTTCCATACTTAAAACGAATTCTGTTAGGCTCCAGTCCTTCTCGCGTGGAAAACTGAGGGCGACTTTAACGTCCTGAACATGCAGAGACTTCACCTGGTCAAAGGCATTGTTGCTGGAAAAATCGTCCATTTCGTCATGAAACAACTCATTCAAGCAGTCACTTGAGGAAGTGTTTGCCGTGAAGACGTAGCGTCCAAGCAGTTCTCTTTGTTCTGCATCAAAGGCCAAAGATGCGTGTGTCTTAGGATTGAGATATCCTTGAAGTGAAAATGACACTGATGATTGCTGTGTTATATTGGCGTAGCAAACTTCCAGCTCCAGATTATAAAGCTTAAGAGGTCCAACTGTTAAGGTTCGCTTCTCCAACACAGTTACCACTTTGGTTACTTTGAAGGACTCACCGTCGACGCCGTTTTCACAGCTAATAGAAACTTTAGAAATTTTTATATCAAGAACTCCTTTGATGACAGGAAGATCGTCTGGGACAGCAACGCCGATGCCTGCAACGAACTCCTTGAGGGTGAACAAAGTTTCGGTGTTTTGGAATTTAAGTAATCCAGGTACATCCGGTCTCGGGAAGGAAAAAGCTGCGTGGCACACAAACTTGTTAAACACGAGCAACTTCATTTCTGCTTCTGCGTACCATTGATCGCCGCCGTGCTGTACCCAGAGATTTGCTTCATGAATGCTTAGCTTCCCTTCAATGATTGAAAATTCTGGAACGAACAGTGACAAAGTCAAGGAATCGATACTCCGACTTTGGGTGTTTGCTTCTAGAGTGACTTTATCAAGCTGGACGTTCGTTAGCACTGAGGGAATGAACGGGAAGGATGCAGCAATTGACTCTGTCAACTCTCCCAGACCAACAGCTTGAAGGACTGATTGCATCGATATCGCAGACGAGCTGGGCCACAATGAAATGCTGAAACGATAACCTGTTTGGATTTCTTGATCGGATTGTTCCACTGGCCATAAGGAAAACTTTGAAATCAAGAAGGAATGGTTTGCCGATGAGGAAATTGGCAAATTGAATTCGACTTCAACTCCGACTTGAGGTTTCCCACTGAAAGGATTGAAAATGGAGAGAGACGCTTTGCTGTCCTGGGGTTGGGGAAGACTGCTTGGTAAAACGGAGGGAAACATGTCAAATAAGAAATCGAAGGTCACGCAAGAAATCCGGGTCACGTTGGAACTTGGAACATCCTGGACCACAGATATTCTTGGTTTGCTCAATGCCAAGTTCTTAATGACCTCGTTTGCTAATGGGACCGTTAGCTCAAGTAGGCTACTAGGAACACCCAGTGTTTTGAACAAAGCAACTACATTGACACTTTCAGGAAAGGCGATGGTCAATTCTGGGACACCTGTTGACGAGGGTGTCATTTTCATGTTTACTGAGATTGATCCGATTTTAGCGTCGCACTCTATGACGAAGGTACTCTTGTACGTTCGCGGGCCACTGACAATGACGTGCATTCGGGACAAATGGACTGTCACCGTACCCCCAAAGGTCATACTGTTCATCCCGGGTGGGATATTGACATACATGTCTCCCGACAGTACCTCAACAGTCAATGGGGAGATGAAATAGTTTACCGTGGAGAGAACACGATCAACCTTCCAAGTAAACATCTCGCGTGCCAAAAGCTGTGTTTGGAGGCACTTTGACAAAGTTTCCAGGGGGAGAAGTCCCATTACACGTTCAAGTAATGTTCCCAGGGTCATGTTGTTGCGGTCCTCCAATGGCACACCTCCAAGCACATTCAAGTACATGTCGACGGATGGTTCTCTCGGTTTCAAATGTCCACTTAAGTCGACAGTGTATCTGGTATTATGGAGGGTGGTTGATATCAGGAGAAGAAGGTTTGGGTTCGTAGAACATGGGTCTCTCACCACAACTTCTAGTTTAGTGACTTTTTGCCTGTCGAACATCACGGAAGTTGTTGAAACCATGACCTCTATGCGGCTTGAAACGACTTCACAATCAACGGAAGAGGAAAGTTCTACTTTGGACAAGTTTAAATTGACTTGGTGATCCAATATGGCAATTCCAATAAAATCATTGGGCAATTCTTCAATCAGGCGTTTCATGTTTGGCATACCAAGGAGGATTTCAAGAACGCTTCGAACATTAATTGAACTGTCGGCCCCGTCGTAACCAAATGACTTCAAGAACTGGACGATGGAAACTTCCTTTCCACTCTTCATTTGACCGGAAAACGTCTTGTGCTCAAAGAAAAAGGAACTGCCTTTATTCTTGTTTCCAGACTTCAAGAAGCCGTTTTCTTCGAAGAGGAAATCTCCCTCAGCAGCGCCTTTCAAAAGAAATCCTTCCTTTTTAGCTTTCTCGAGCCAGACGTTCCTTACACCGCCATTTTCGGAGATGCTCTTGAGCGTGAGCATTCTCAAGTCACCATTGATGGAAGGAGCATTGGACACCACCAGGACGTTTTGGTTTCCCTTTGTAGACGTTAGGAAAAGCGTTCCGTCACTGTCTACTTTAAGCCAGAGAAACTTACCATCGGAAATCTTTGTCTTCACGTAGTACTGATCAAGTGTTGGCAGAAAGGACCGCTGTGGAATTGTAAACCCAAAGTTCTTTTTCAGTTGTGCGGCAACGTCGATTCGTACTTTGTCTTCGCTTGCAAATTTGGCTGTTCCGCTTGGAGCTACGTTGGCGTCGTTGCTGGGGTCCAAAGTGAATGAAACATTACTCTTTAGGTAATAAAGGGACACGAGCTTGTTCCATTCCTTGTAATGCTTGTGTTGAGCATCTGGCAAATACTTAGCTGGAAGGGCTCCCCCAGAAGTAAACACGATTCTGCATGGTTTGTTCTTTTCAACAGCAGCCTTTATGATCCCCTTGATGACGTCTGATGAAGGATGGCCATATTTATCGTCAGCTGACACGTAATACGTTTTGGAATGAAAGGACTGAAAAAACGCATCAATTCCAATCTTTCCCGCGAAGTAGTCTTGGTAAATTGGGTCATCGCCCATAACCTTTCCAACCAACGGGGACATGCTAACTTTCCGCGCTTTTGTTGAATCTGGGGACCTGTGAGACATCGGAGTATTGGCCACATCATTCCTCAGAGTATCCCAATCTTCTAAGGATTTTAAAGGTCTCAGATCCTTGCACGGGTCTATTCCTCCAGACTGTTGCTGAAGGGCTTCCACTATCTCGATGTGCTTTTCTTTTATGTTGTTTAACAACTCATCGGGGGTGATCTGTTGCTTTTCTTTTTTAACTCGTGCTTCAAGTTGCTTCAAGAACACTTCAGCTATCATCTGTAGTTCTTCTCCATTTCCACCGCCAGCGATTACTTCCAGTTCCTGGCGAAGGGAATCAATGTTACTTTCCTCTTCAGGGCTCTCTTCAAAGGAAATCGTCTTTGTGAGACTTATAGAAAGCAACAACATCGACGCTAAATTTTGAAAGGCCCAAGGAGGTGGCAAGACCTTTCCCAAAATGCTGTTGTTAGCACTTCCATGATGAGGCAACTTGAAGATGTCTAAATCTTTGACTCCTTCTTTTCGAAGCATCGCGACTATGTCATAACCATAAGCATCCCCACTCAGGCAAATCTTTCCACCCTTTTGCGTGTACATAATGATACTCGATTTGTTTAAATCATCGTCTTCATTTCCTCCTTTCAACTTGCTTCTTTGTTTCTCTTCAGAGAAAGGTTCATCGTCTTCTGAGGGTTTTTGGCGCTGGTACAAAACGCCCGGCGATGATGGAAAGGTGAAGACAATGTCGTTTTGGAAAGCATTAAGTATGTCTTCCTTATCGAGGCTAATCTCGAATTTTGCTGTCAACAGAAAGTCAGAAAAACTTCGATATGCTTTGTCTTCCTGTGCAAATTTCCTCGTTAGCAAAACGGGACCATTGGACATTAGTCGTTTTTCGGGTCTTTCCGGCATCACGCTCTCTTGGTACTGGACAGGGAGTAGCTCTCTGAATAGTCTTTCCACACCATCCAAGTGGTCTGCATGGGGATGTGTGACTACAGCTCCGTCGAGTTTAATTCCTGGTAAAGTTTTATTTTACTATGCATGGGTAAAGCGTTAAATGAATGAAGAGCAAATAGTAAATGTTACTGGCGTATACTGGGTTTTGTGAAATGTTTCTGATTACTTCGTTTATTCTGCGTCCAGTTTATTTAATTTATGAAGCTGGGAGTCTTTTTAAGAAAAATTATTGCTATTACTGAAACGAATCCAAAAGATTTCATCGCAAGTTGGTCGTCGAATTTTCTGATTACGCGTTTGCCTCTTGTCTGTCGTTTGTCTACTTTTAAAAACTCGTAAAAAGTTTCAGCGTATCTTGCAGTTGAATGAAAAACAGCCTGGAGATCAGTTTTACGATGTAGAAACAGTACAAGCAGTAATGGCATGTGTGGGTGGTATCTATGACTGAACATAGTACTTATACTCTCAGTATTACTGAACACACTCCCGTCATCAGTGTTTAGTTAATAAAAGTACCTAAAAGCGTCCGATTCCTGCCATAATTTCCTAAGATACCTCCTGGTTTGGTTCTTCCTCCGTTTCCCGCTAAAGACCTGTCAACCAACATGCAACCCAAGCTTTTTTGTTTTTGAACCAAATATTGTAACAAATTTAAGTCGTCAAATCGTCTTGATTTTGGTGAGAGAATGCAACGTTCGACTTTACCCTGCGTCGCCCAATTACTTGACATCTAAAGTGTTCTGCTTACTATCACGCTGCTCATATATATGGAACATACCAGTGCTGTTTGGAATCCTAGCCAGATCAGTGAGTGTTTTGAGGAGGTATTGGTAGTATGGCCGACTGAGCTGTAGCTTTGTTAGTTTCTTGATTCGTTTCTTTAGCGTTCCACCCGCCCCGACATGCCAGATTGGACCACCATCCACCAAATAGAATCGGCGCTTGCCAGCTAAGGATATAAAGCAATGTCATTCCGAGCATATAGATCATACTTCGATCAATTCTATGTCTGTCCGCTCACCAAATGATCCACCGTGCTGGGTCTCAATAAACTGTTAAATGTCAGGCGAGAAAGAGGAAAGACAGCTGGGCAGGTTTCAAGTTATGCTTGTGTTGCCTCTAATGGTAACAATATGTAATCTGTTATAAAGTTTAGGTGTGCTCTTTTATTTTATTTTGTCGTTTATTAGCTATAGTTGTAATTTAAGAGTAAAGTTACATGTAAGAAGATCTACCACGCATGGAACTGAAATAATGCGAGACAGGAAACTGGGAGCCAGTCTATGAGGGAGGGATAAAGTTTACAGCTCTCTCACCAACGGCTTCTAAGCTAATTAGGAAGAGAGATTCATTGTTACAGTACCCACCTGACTGAAACTCCAAAACGGAGGCATCACCAAAACCAGCATACACGACATGCAAATACGCCTTCACTTCGCTCATCTTCAAATCTTATTCAGGGGTCATTGCTACATGTGTTTGAATAGAAACGAAGTTTCAAATATCAGAGCAATGATAGCCTGCGTGCAGCAACAATGAGACAATTAAGCAATAATCAATAATGATAATAAGCTTATAAAGAACTGATCTAAACAGGTAATTCAGCGCGCACGGGGTCACACTGTTTGTTTAGCGTTGGTTTCAGTTCTTTGAAAAAAAAATTCGAAAATAGAACAATAAAACTTTTTTTCTGACACTTCCTTAAAATTTTAAAGCTTTGCACAATATGTTTCGGCTCCTTATCATGTTCATTGTTTTATGTCCCTTTTTAACTTCATAAATATTTTTACCACTTATCTTACATATTTTATTGCATTTTATCGTTCGTGACATTTTTAACCACCTTTTACTGTTAGAAACCATAATCTCATGTAGAAACATATTTATGCTAATTTTATATTTTTTGCCCGCACTTGAAAATGACCTCGCCAGCCTTTATCACAAAATCCATTTCTAAGAAATTACTCACAAACATTTTGTGTGTATAAATTTAGAAATTTCGCTGCATCAACCTTTTGTTAAACACGCGACGAGTAGATGCCCGTGACTGAACGACATACAATAAAAGTTTTCTTTCTCTAAAGTAACGCTCTATTCGATCACTGAGTGAGTTAAAATTATCTCCAAGGTAGCATATTTGATCTATTTTACCTTACGAATAATATTAATGATCGCGTGACCTTGTCACGATCGCGTGAGATATCAGCTTCGAATATTTTTGAGCGCTAAGCACATCTTGTTCATCCGGTTTTCAAAGAAACATGATTTTTTTTTCCTGCTTCTTTGAACAAAGAGGATTTAATTCCGCATACGTCAATACAGAATGGCAGTCTGGCTTCCTTTAAACAATGACATTTATGGACATTACTTTGAGTAAACTTAATAAATAGCAATGACAAGGCGACCACAAACTGTGTAGTTCGTCATAACCTCTTCCGGTTTCGTTTCCAATGAAGTACACGCCAGTGCTTCAGTGACTGCAGTTTTTCAGACGTCGCCAGAGCCTCATGCGCTTAATTTATGATACCTGTGTCATCTCCTAGTCTTTTTCGTTTGATGTTTATTCTATCTAAAATTAAGATTGCGAAATAAATAATAACGTCACGATCACTTTCGAACGCATCAGTAATCTAAAGATTTCTCAGATTTCTCTTCACTTTTTCCTGGAACTGATAGCCAAAGGGAAACCATCCTTTCTCGACATAAATACGTAATGACAATATTCTTGAGCTTTGAACGTATTTTGAAACGTCTTCTCTAATCTTGCAAATGGCAAAAATGACGCTTTTGCCGTCCATCTTCAGCTGTTTGTACAGCAGAGTGAAAATATTAGTATTCTGCGGTGAATAGCAGACGTTTTTTCAATTTTTGTGAGATGCATGTAAGAATTCATTAGAAGAACAGAACACAAAAATAGAGGTAATTTTTGCCGTTTTCCGTTTGCTTAGCCTCATTACTATTCCATTTAATTCTTTACATGGGCCGTGCAACTCATCTCAATAAAAGGATCTGCTCCCCCCCCCCCCCCTTGACGGTTCATTCCAGTTTTTCAAACGACAAATCTAATGACTGAAGTCTCCAAATTTCTGTTCGACCACAAATCTGTATCTACTCATCACTTACCTTACTCCTCAGTTTCGATCAGTTTTACAATCGAACCCAAGCTGTGACAGTAAAGCTATTTTGTCACGCTTTCAGAAGTGCTTGCTGTATGTTCTCAGTCCAGTTCTGGTCCTCCTTGGTCACGCAACGCTACGCTCTTAAAGAGCCTGGCTGGCAAAGGGCCGATGAATGGATGGAAGAGGACTGGGAGAAAGGAAAAACGTCTGCTATAGGAACCCTCTTTTGTTCATTTCTGCGAACGCAAAATTTCCATTGGCTAATGCTCAATTGACTAATGCTTGATTACTAGTTGTACAATCTCGTCAGAAATAACGACAATAGTCGTGGGCGAAGATGTATTTTAGCAAGGGATGTAATTTAACGAGATTTAAAATCTCGTTAGCGTGAGCAAATGTACGTTAAAACCCGAGCAAGAGTCGGTCGTGACAGTTTTTTTTTTTCGGCTGAAAGAGCTGTTTTGGGCAGTTTTGCCTGCAGGAGTGTAATTTATCAAAGGTTTGTTCGTGCCAAGAACTATGAACTGAACGGGAATGAGTCGATTCAGTTTATTTCGCCTTTGAAAACTATCCTTGAAAGACAAACTGCAGGAGATGGAACCACTGAGCTATCCTTCTGTTGATTGCTCCAATCCGGTGTTATTCGCCAATGTGAATCTAAAATACTGGCTTTTGTTCAGCTACGGCCTTACAGTTCGTAGCCCGAGCAGTTATGGCATTGCTTGAAGTCACAGCCGTCTTTATAACACAGTATAATTCTGCAGCGTTTCTGATTTTGCGGCCAGAACTTCTACATACGTTTAGGCAACTTTTGCATTGAATTAAAGTGAGCTCAATGGAAGGACAATGAAAGACGCTCTCCGCTTTTGCACCAGACTCGATACCACAGAACCTGCAGAAATTATCGCAGCCGTATTCCTTCTTTTTACTCATTATTTTCGAGCTCTTACCGTAGGGAAATAATTTCAATTGACTAAATTCAGTTATGCCGAGAAGTGCACGCTAGTTTCCGATTGGTAAAACTGTTGACTGTAATTGACAGTTGATGAAATTGAATTACATCGAAATTGGTGGGCGTGATGCGAGAAGCCAGGTTCTTATAGCAGGTGCTCCTTCCCCGTTTACGCCTGCAACACAGGCTATGAGAGAGGGCCCCTGTCTCCCTAACGCTGCGTGATTGCATGAGGAAGGCTAGAACTAGACTAGAACATACAACTACCTAATGTCTTTTACTTTGAAATTTGTTGATCTTCGAGGAAGGAAACCGCTGGTTGCGCCATTCGGTGTGCAGAAGTCAACTAAATCCAGTTCCATTATTCCTTCACGTTTATTGCAGTACTCAGTTTACAAAATGCTCTTCTCGGTGAACATGCTGACAACCACTGCGTGATTCCTCATCCTACTTGACGAGACAATTTAATAGAAGGATATCTTCACAAAATATTAACCAATTTACGAAAAGCTCGGTACAAAAGCTATCTTGACGCAGATGACGCTCGGTTCGCACGGCCCAGACTCCAAAGGAGTGAAACGTGCGAGTGCTAGCACGCTCGCTTTTCATTCCCTCGTTTTCCACACCAACTGGGATACTTTTGAGCTATTTGTCATGTTCTCAGTATACATAAACAGTTGAAGCAGATCATCGTCTCTTGGTTGACGTAGACGCATTATACGTGTAAGCCATTTAATGAATTCTACCAGATGCAAGAAACCGTAGAGTAATTGTTAAGTAGTTTGTAGGACGTTCAATTTCGTCTACCTGAATGAATAAGGCCATTGGCAAGCTCTGATTAATGTCCTACTTGTCTACTCGTCCACATTTATATGCTTGCTAGCGCTGGATAACGCAGATGAGGCACTGTTGGCACAATTGACCAGAAAAGCCTTTAATATCGGGAAGATCTGGAACCCACTATGTTGCCAAACAAGACTGAAATAAACGAGAGACAGTCCTTGATTTCCGTTCCAACATCTTCTAAATATTTCACCACGTCAAGTTTCGTTACATTATATTGTTTTGGCCGTTTACATAATGGCCCCAGTGTACTATGATGTAGTGTCTTACGTACAATAACTGGAGAATTCTCGCACGCTCATTAACTAATTTTCATTGTCAATAAGCGCACAGACACATGAATTTCTCGCGTTATGGCTTAATTTTGTCCCGTCTACGTTTTTGTCATTGTAAAAGACAAATTGACGTCAGTTTTTCACGCCTCTGTCCTGTTATAGACAATGAATTTTGTCATAACATTGTCAAAGTAGTTTGCGGATCCACAACTACTTTGACAATTTTATGACGAAATTCATGATCAATAAAAGGACAGACGCATGAAAAACTAACGTCAATTTGTGAATTAACAAATCAAATCAAAGCAAGATGACGCTTAATTACTTTAGATAAGACTGGACTGTTTTATTTTCCTTACATTTTTAGAACCACATTACTTTCTGCCTAACGCAGGAAAATTGCTAAGAAAGAACAGTAAACAAGCCGAAACAATGCAGGTACAATGCATGGTCTTGGTTTAACGAACTGGCTGAAGCACCGAATAAACTTCATCCCCACTTCTTCAGTGAAGTTGGTTCATGCATTTGGGTATGGCCAGCACAATCTTTAATGGATAATCTTGGCACTCAGGTTTTACCAGAGCGTCGTAGGCCTCATTCAAATCACGGACGCTCCAAGTCCTCCTATGCCGCGTAGGTCTTATCTTCATAGACTTTTTGTTCAATTTGTGGACCTGCCCAACTGAAAAGCTGAAATTGAAAAGCAACATCTGATATCAATATAGACTAGGTACCACCCTCGAGCTCCATAATATGCCTTTTGCAACGGCTGGTCACATGACCTATAGTTTCTCAACTTTTTGGTACAAAAAAAAGGATACGTGACGCATGAATTCGTGCGTGAAATGAAATTACGACCCTCCCCCTCCCTCTCCCCCTCCCCCCCCTTGCTACTCTCATCTAGGGCATGTAGATTTTATTTAAAACGCCTTTTGCTAAACGTGGTTGAAGCTCTCTGGCGCAGAAGATCTTCATCAGGCTGGTGAAAATATTTCTATTCTAATGTATACGTATTAAGTATGTCTGAATTTTACAATTTGCCTTATTTCCTTGTATTTTGATCTTGCGTGCTTTCTAAAGCTAAAATCAAACATTGTGTTAACCTAATGCAACCTAAGTATATTCTATACTGACGGCATACCATGCGAAACAAACTAGAATTTTTCAACGCTTTTAAAAACGATTGTACACCTTCATCTTATTTAGGCCTAACAAGCAAGCTAAGTGAAAGAAAACAACTAGTGAAATTTAGGATAGGCAATCACAAACTGAGGACTGAAACTGTTAGATATGGTCAGTTTCCAAGGGTTAACAGACTCTCCCCTATTTGTTAATCTAATGAAATTGGAAGTGAATCTCATTTTCCTATGTGTTAAATCAAATACTCTATTCTAAGAAGTGAATTTTATAGAAAAATAAAAAGTATATCTTTCCGAATTTTAAACGATTATTCCCGTTACAAGCCATCGCCGAACTTATGACTTCTGCAAATCATTATCGGCTAATAGTCAATTAGCAAACTTCATTTCATCTTGTTTGATCTACAAAATATTCTTCTTTTAAATCAAACTGATGGAACTTGATTGCTATATCATAATCCTCATGGTGTTCACGATAATCATTACTGCTTTATTTTTAGTTTACCAAAGCTTTTGCAATTCTGTATGTAGTTATGGTCATGCAATGGTATGCAAATAAAGTTAGTTGTTGTTGTTTATTGTTGTTGTTGTTGTTTGTGGTGCGTATTCACTCACCCAGTATCTGTCATGGTCAACAAAAGGAGTGCTGCAATTAGAGCCGTGATGTGAAGTTTCATCTTGAGTTCAGTCTCGATGAATAGCAACAAGTTTTTGCAAACCTAAAGAACAAAGCAAAGCAGTTATTATACGCATCCAACATACAGATCAGATCTAGTAATTAAACGAACGCCTTAGAAATAGGTCAAGCGTAAACGTAATGTTTATGCGAAGATGAAATGTAGAAACGACAGCGCTCGTACTCTTCCTTTCAATTGTCATACAGGAGGCGTGATTCTCGTTAATTCTCCGTGACTCTCCAAAACATTACTTTGTTAAGCTTCAAGATCGTATAAATTGTTTCCTGCTCTTGAAGAGGAAGAATTCGGAATATTTTAACAAGATAATTTGGCCGAGGCTTCTTGCATATGAACAGAAAAGAAATCAATCTTCAAGAAGCTTTACAGCGTTGAAGAACTTCTAAAATGTTGTGTACCTTGATCGTCTGTCCTGAACAAACAACCAGCTGGGGTTATGTAAGTCTTGACTGCTGCCAGTTACGTCGATGATTGATCTTCACCTCACTGAGTCGGGACAAGTGATAAATATGACGATTTTACCTTATCATGCATCAACAAGTCTATTGTGTTTTAGGAATAGGGGGACATCGGACTTTTGAGTATTCACCGCTGTTAAGCCTGCGGGCAGGCAAACCGTTGTTTTGCTGTTTAACCGGACAACATTAACAGAGAGTCCAATCCTGTGGAGGGGGGACCACCATATTAAATGACGGCGTGCTCATCGTACATTTTAGGGGTTAAAAATACAGTTTTGGTACCTCATAGAGTGTTAAGCTTTAAAAGTTCTACAGCAGGAGGTTTCGCGGTTCCATTTAGGGTATTAAGCCGCTGTACCTTTAAGGGTATTAGCCGAAAAAAGCTATGACGGGAGATATTTGACAATCTACTCAACGAGTAGAAGGTATTCGATGCCGATCATCTTTATCGCTATTAAAAAAAATTATCAAAGTGTCAGTTAATGTGTTGTTTTAGAATTGGTACCTCTTAGGGGTGAAAACAATTTAAAGCCACGCCCACAAAACAGGATCTTAGGACCTCTTAGGGGCTCTTTTCAAAATTTCCGAAATCACTCGCGTTCTTTTTATATGGAAGTTCCCACCCCCCTCCCTGGGCGTCCCGGGTGGATCAGTGTTTTGTTTGACATACACAGACCAGGCTGGTCTCTTGTCGCCTTTTTGAGAAAGTGAACTTGCTTGTTTATTTTCCGACAACGTACTTAAGGGTCTGCGCGATATTCATACTTGAAGAGCTACACAGTATTGCACCGGGTTAAGTCCCTTTACACGAAAACAAAAAGCAATTAACATTTTATACATAAAGTTTGCGGCTTGCTCATCTATTGGACAAAGCACTTAAAGTAAACCAATAGGAAGGCAAGCAATTCTAATATTTCAGTACTTTCCATCAAGAATGTCACGCTTCAACGTATCTTGCCAGAGATTAGAGCACGTAACATAACCGACTCTCTGTGACGTTAATTTCACGATAAATGAATGTTGTCGTTGATTTAGACGAACGAAATGATTAGAACTAGTGCCTTAAAAAAAATATTTCAGTTTACATGCCATCTGATCACGTTCCAACAAAAAAGCACAAGAACAATACCTTTACGGTTGTGCAAACGTCATGCTTGGTAGTTCTTCAATGGAAGTAGTCCATCGAGGAAATCGTTATGTCTTTTTAAGTTAGGGCTCTCTCTGGTTTTGTCAAGATAATGACACTAAACTCCGTTGGTCGGTATAGCTT